GTGAGCCCCCTCAATTGTTTTATTAGAGTTGCCATAGTCATGTTGTCTCTCCACAGCAATAAAAACCTACACTATGACGGAAGTTGGTACCAGGAGTCGGGTATGGCTGTGATAGGGCTGACCATGTGTGTATTTGGAGGAATTTGAAGTTTGGTACTTTGGGTTATGGAAGCAGTGGAATGTTTTAAGCACTGCTTAATGGGCCACACTAGTAGGGGCATGGAAGACAGAGGTGCTAAGAGTTACTTGAACTGTCAGGAGCTCACTCAAGAGGTTTCAGAGTTTAGTATGCTGCCTAGAGATTGTTGCTGGGATATTTTTGGTGAAGGAAGTAGAAGCCTTTGCCCTTTTTCAGAGTCTGCCTGAGGCTAAAGTGAGTTTTAGATTAATTCCACTGGCAGAAGAAATCTCAAAACAGCCTAGTATAGACTCTGCCATGTGCATACAGCGATAACTCAAAAGGTTTATAATGAGGAGAAAGCTGAGCAGGGTAAATTACAAAATGAAGAATTTGAGGAGAAAAAGAGCATCAGCAAGTGGAATAGAGCTAAGTTCTAAGTTCAAGGTGACAAACAGATTAAGAAAGGGAGTAAAGGGAATGGTGACCTCAGGGCAAGACCCTACCCAGCTAAGTTCCCAACTTGCGAAGGAAAGCTCAGCGCTGGGTGTGGTGGTGCCCACATTTGATCCCAGCACTGCGAAGGCAGAGGCTGGTGCATCTCTTGGATTTGGGGCCAGCCTGGTCTACAGAGTAAGTTCAAGGACAGCCAAATTTAGACAGTGAAAGAAAACAGAACGCTGGTGAAGATGTAATTAAACAAGGGGACCATGTTCCAGACCAGGCAAGCAGCAGAACGTGGCAGCTTCGGCTATGTGGTTCTGGATTTAGAATCAAAAATAGAATAAAGGAGTTATAGAATAAAGCAACTGAGGCCAGGCATGTGTGAGGGGAGTCTCTGAATGGAGGTCTAGTAGAGAGGCCTTTTCATGAAGCTGTGAAATTGAAGTCATGAATTGCCTTGGAGAACCCAAGATATTAGAGATGCCAGAGCCGTGGGTTACCTGCATAGGAGAGCTGCTAACAGGGAGTGGGACCCGCCCGAGAGAAAGAAGTGTGTTGAGGTCAGCAAATCTGAACAGAGTTGGAGAAACGAAGAGCATTTTGACATCTGACACACACGGAGCTGCAGTTTGGAGTTTGTCCAGCTGGTTTTCAGTCGTTTCGGCCCAGCATTTCCTCACTGTGCTCCCTCCCCAGCATTCTGGGATGGTAATGTGTATCCTGTGCATATGTTAGAAGTATGTGATCTGCTTTTTGATTTTTATAGGGGGATTACAGTTAAGAGATTGCTATGTGTCTCAGAAGAGACTGTGGAGGCTTTTGAGGTTGGACTGAATGCATTTTTCTTTCTTTCTTTTTTTTGAATTGTATGGCTATAAGCCTTTGGGGGCCAGGGAGTGGAATGTAGTTTGAAAGAAAATGGCCCCCAAAGAGAGTGGCACTATTAGGAGGTGTGGCCTTGTTGAAGGAAGTGCGTCACTGTGGGCTCTGAGGTCTCTTTTGCTCAAGCTTTCTTCAGTGTGACAGTCTGTCCAGGTCCTGCTGCCATAGTCAAGATGTAGCCAGCACCACATCTGCCTTTAAACAGCTATGCCCCCAGTCATGACGATGATGGACTGAACCTCTGAAACTGTCAGTTGCTCCCCCCATTAAATGTTTTCTTTGTGGGAGTCGCCATGGTCATCGTGTCTCTTCACAGCAATAGAAAACCCTAAGACAGAAGTGCAAGTGATGGGTCCCAATGATTCCCCTGGGCACAGGCGTCGGCGCTCAGGGTCCCAGGCACACACATGCTGGAGGAGAGAGCACAAGCAGAGAGCAGAGCTGGGAGGGCAATTAACGCAGTCTTTATTTACACCACAAGAGTGAGTGACAAGTGTGTGATGCGGTACAAACGCTGGACCCGGGAGGTGGAAAGAGGTGACCGCCAGAGGCCACCTCCGGTCCGTGGAACCCACCACACAAAATGAAACAAGAATGAGAAAAAACCAAACATGACCTCCAACCCCGCCAAGAGGAGAAAGCGCCGCCGAGGGGAGGTCCAGACACCAAAGAGAAAACAGGCTGTTACAGAGTGAAGGTGGTCGTGGCTGCGGAGCCCACACAGCATCATGTCGCAGCGCTACAATGGCTTTGACCACACTTCCATAGTGAGCTCTTGCTGAGTGAGGTCAGCCTCCTGTGCATACATAGAAACAGCATGTTTAACATTCTTACAGACTGGAAAATGGAGCCTCCTCAGGGGAGTGCACACCCCCAGAACAAGGCCGGTCTGCATTCTTTTCTTTCCATAGGAGACTCTGATCGAAGTGAGGCCAGTGAGACCATCAAGGCCGGGTGCAGAGTACGCCCAGACTCTTGAGAGGGAGAAACGATTTCCTCCAGTGCCAAGTATCGCTTAGACCCAGGGCTCACAAAGGCCTGCACTGCTCAATGTGGAACCCCAGCCCTGTGTCTTCCAGAAGGAATGAACCCATCAACTGTACAGAGACGGGGGACTCACTCGAACCCCAGGTTCCCAACCAGAGGCCCGTGACAGCAGGCAGCAGGGCGCACCTGGCCCTGTGCAGGGAGAGAAAGGAAACAAACAAAACAAAACAAAATCCTCTCAACCAGCTTGAGAGACAGGCAGTAGGGTCTGAACGTGGAGTTTGCACATGGATACAATCAACTCTCTATCGGCTTGTCAGAGGTGCTAGGTCAACTCCTTAATGAGACACGTGTAAGTAGTCCTTTTATTTTTCTTACAATTAAAAAGTACAATTTCTTAAGAATAAGTTCAATAAGACTCAAAACTCCCCCCTCCTCTCCTTCAAGGTTTTGTTGTGTTTTACAGAAAAAAATTTCTGCATCTGCAAACATCATGAGAGGGGAAAGAAAGGCATTGTTTCCCTTTCCCCAAAGCTGCCGAGTTTGGCGTGCAAAATCTGTATACAATATAAAGACATGCCGGCGTACGTCCATGCAACCTCCAGATGTAGGAAACTTAAAAAAATATATTTATATATTTATATCTATATATTTATATATGTATCAATGCCCATAAAATACATGGGCCCAAAGTCTACAAAAAGAAGGATGGAATGAGCATGTGGCTGTGACCAGTGAAGAAGGAATGTTCTGACGGAAAGAAACACAACCAAGTCCGTCACCAGTGCTGTGAAGACCACTGCACAATGGTCCTTCCTCTTGGGGACAGATTTGAAAGTAAAGAAAAACCGAAACACTTTGATAAAGCGGCCTTCAGAAGCCAGAGCCCTGGGATGTCCCTGTGGGTGTGGCCCTGGGAACAGCCGCCTGCTGGTGGGGCATGGGCTCTCAGGGTGCAGCTGGAAGACCCAAGGGTGAGCGAACACCAGCATCCTGAGGACATGGTGTCTTCGAGCTTCCCCTAAAGGGATGTAAAGTGCTTGCTCCGGCTCCCTTGCCAGCACCCACCAAGGCCTTTGCAAAGGAAGGGAGAAGGTGGAAGGTTCAAGGTCCAGGCAGGGGAGTGCTGTGGTCCTGCCCTGGAAGTCAAGGCCGACCTTCTGCCCTCCCTCTGCCCTGGGTGATAACTGTGGGGAAGGGCCACGTATGTCTTCAAAGGGAAGAAAAGGCTATATGGTAGGTAATGCTTTCAGCTCACAGGGAAGCTGGAGTGAGCTGGCTCCCTGGCCAGGCCCCCAAATCAAAGGGTGATGTAATGGGACCAAAGTGAGTCCCTCTCACAGTACCCTGGCTACTGAGTAGCCTGTTAAGCATCACCTGAAAAAGTAAGATGATGTGTACCTCTCCACGAGTCGTGGCTGGCACAAAGAGGTGGCAGGGTGTGCAGAAAATGGCCAGGGCGGCCAGAAGAGCAGCTGGCTGGCCTCTGCCACCATGCAGTGGCACAAGCAGGGGAGGGGCCACAAGGGCTCCTTTTGCTAAGGGCCACACAGGGAGGGAGGGGTCGGGCATGTCCTAGCGCCTTAGCTTAGCACTGCCTTAGCTTAGCACTGACTCTCAGGAGCACAGCAACACACAGTCCAACATTGTGTGCTCAGCTTGTCTGTCAAAAGCCTGACCCAGTTCCCATTACCCTGTAAATGCCACCTAACTCAGAAGCTTAGCTGGGTGTCCCTTCCGAGTAGCTCAATTTCCCCTTGCCAGTCTAAACTCCACATACTTTGGAATGAAATTGGTGGCTTTAAGTGCTAGAAAAGAAGTTAGCAGTAAAAAGAGTCAGCTGTCATAGAAAACAAAAACAAACAAACCAAAAACAAAACAAAACAAAAAAAAAACCAAAACCAACCAACCAACCAAAAAAAAAAAAAAAAAAAGAGCAAAGACAAAGACCGACTGTCCCTCAGGACCCGGTGCTCCTACAGGTTCAAGTGACAAGGGCCTTGGTTCAGCAGCCACAGGCTACAAACCCAGGGCTGTGGCTCTAGCCAGAGCCCAGGCTATGAGGCTATGGTGGAAACCCCTGAACAGGTGCAGGGCCGGGCTATGCGCCAGGTGCTGTGGACATGCTTCAAAGGTCTTTGGGAAACTAGAGTTGGAGTTCTATCCTGATGGAGTGGTTACAAGTCCACACGCTTTAATGCTGACCGCCCTCATGACTCACGTGGCCCGCCTGCCCTTGTAATACTACTAGTGTTGCAGGACAGAAGGCCCTGGCTGTGCCGCTCCTCGGGGGAGCTTGAAAAGACAAGGCAAGGGCAGCGCGAAGACCTGCTATCCATTCCCGAGAGAGAGGTTCTCTCTAAACCCAAGCATGACAGCAGCGGTCCTGCACAAAGCAGAGCTCTGCCTGCTGTATGAAAACAAACAAAACCAAACCATAAAAACAACCCTCAGAGCTATAAAAAAATGTACAAGTAAGAATTTAGAAAGAAAAAGTTTTAGACATTACCACCTTCAGAAAACTGCTGAATGGTGAGGGAGAAAAAAATGTAAAATCCATAAAACAATGTTTTCTTCAGGATTGTTTGTGAAAAATTCATACAAAAATCAACAGCAAGTTTATATCCTTTGCTATAAAAACTCATCAGGTACATATGTGCATGGAGGCTTGGAGAGGGCAGAGGCCTTGTTAGAAAATAATTAAAATTAAAGTACAAACTGGTAGGGAAGTTGCCCAGGGGTGAACATGTTGGCTATCTGGAAGCTGGCCAAACTGGAGCCCAAAATTCCTTGGGCTTCAATCCAGACCCCAGCCTTCAGCACCTCAGAGCTAACACACGTCTTTCACCTGCCAGGACCTCTGCGGTCTGGATTTATTATATATATTTATATATACTTTGTCTATAAATGCATTATAAATATTTTATCAAGATCTCATAAGAATCAAGTTTCTTAGCTTGGAATACAGTGGAATATATATTATACATATATATATTTATTTATACCTAAAATTTAAGCAATACTTCATGCTACCTGCTTTTAATGAAAAGCATTCCGATCGTAACACTGCAGTGTGCCTACGACATGCTTCACAACCCATGGAGATGCTCGACTGCTACGTGACGGATGAGAAAAGAACACTTTGGATCCGTTTAAAATGTGTCGGACTTCAAAACTGCCGGCGGTGTTCGCTGCTTTTTGGAACTACCTCATCTTCCTTAAACAGCGATCAGACCAAGCAAGGCTGGCTATACTGTGGCCCCTGGGGACAGTGGCTGGCACCTACTTTTCTAATGCCAGGCCAGCGTCACCGGCTCAGCCAGCCACAGGACACTGTAACACCAATTCTTGGTGGTTTTTTTCTTAAGGCATTGTTCCTCAGACTTCAGAAAACCCAGCCACAAAGAAAAAAAAAAAAAAATCCATCAGAGCAATAAAAAAAGGCACAAACTTGCATCTTCCGATGGCTTCAGGAAGCTCCAGCTGACTCCCAGGCTCACATTTCTGTTCTGTCCAGTTTTTTTTTTTTTTCCTTTAATGTTTCTTCCAACTCTGTCCCTCACTAAGCTGTGAACCCCCACTGCACCCCACTAAGGTTCACAAGGCAGGCCAGAGCCATAGAAAACTCTCTGTTTAAAAAAAAAAAAGCTACAAGATGAGTTGAGTGGTTTACACAGAGACTGTGGGATTGTGGGTAAGAATCAAATGTTAAGCACCAGTTTTAATCAAGTTTTTTCTGTAGTATTAGATAGATCTTTGATTTTCATTTTCCTCATGTCAACTCGATTCAGCAACTGTGCCCAGGTTGCCACAGGCCTCTTCCTTCGCGGGCTTCCCTGGGGGAACCCACCAGCGTGTGCTTGGCTTCCGCATGTCTGTGTGCCTGTGTGCGCTGTCCTGTGTTCCATGTGATCCGCCACACCTGGTGTTCGTGTGCGTCTCCAGACCTGTGGTCCAGGGCGTCAGAAAGGCCTCCCGCTGCTGCTGCACGCCTGGTGTCCCCTTGCACTCAGAGAGCACCGAGGCAGGACGCAGGAGTGACACGGGAAAGTTTCTTGGCTGAGCTTCAAGACAGACAAACAAAGGAGAGAACAGCAGCTTCGGGCTACAGTGGTGGCTCCTCCTCCATAGGCTCTTCCTCCGATCTGTGGAGGAGAGCAAGGGGTCAGGCAGTGTGCGTGGTGGGTGAGGCCCTGTGCAATCAGGCTCCCTATCCCACAGAGCTGTCGAGAACCCTGGTGCATAGTTTTAGTTTGCAGAGCCAGTGGGCATGCCCACTACCTGTCCTGTCCACTCAGGGCTAACCTGGCCCAGGGCTGGGTGCACACAGGGAGATTGTCAGGCCCTCACAAACAGGCGTTCCCAGCAGGCTTACCTCTTCTCAGCAGGGTTTACGCCTACAGACAGTGAGGCCATGGCGGTGACTGTCTCAGCTTCTTCATTCTCACACTTCTGGGCCTCAATCAGAGAGTGCCCCACGGTGGAGGACAAACGCTGCAGGCAGCGCCAGTACTTGCCTGAGAGAAGGGGACACACTCAGTGACTTTCTGCGTCCGCAGGTTGCTGGCTTGGCTCACAGGTCACTGGGGCCCTATGAAGACTTGTCACCCGTGCCTGAAAAGTGCGTCTCTGAAGGGCGCTGCCTGGTGATGAACTCACACACACTTACCTGTAGCACAGGCCACTGGACATGGGATGGGGTTGGGGTTGGGCTGTTGTGGGGCCTGGTTCTCCACATTCATGGACCGTGTGCCTTTGCTGTGGGCAACCAGAAATTCTGGGAGCAGGCACATGCAGACTTGATGGCACCTAGACTGGGATTTGCTACCTGAGCCTTGTAGATGCTGGGGATATGCCACATCCAGATACTGTACAGGGAGCCCTGCTTGGGCAGCATTTTGAGAATCAGGGGCATCAGTGGAAACAGTTTTGAGGACAGAACTGAATGGTCCCAAAGGGGAGCTAGGAGACGCCTTCAGGTGCGCATCATCTATGTAAGGCATATCACAGAGTCCAGGCAAGGACTGGCAGGTGTACCTGGGGCAGGGTGCTACGTGGGTGCCTAGCTATGTGCCTGTTGCCTAGGCCTGAGACTCGCTGCTTGAATGGGACATGGATTCTACCCTGTTCTGGGCATATGAACTAAGTAACCTGAGACCATTGGTGCCAGATTCTTTTGGACCCCAGCACAGCAGAACTGGTTCTGGTCATCCCTACTAGCTCATCAAATGCCAGGGAAGGAGAAGCCTTGTGTTCCTGCCCTGGGTCCCCGTGATCACTTGGGTAGCCACTTACTGTGGATGTCCATCACTTTCTCCATGGAGTGGACGGCATTGGCATTGGGTCTCTGCTGCAGAACCTTTTCTGGCAGAGGCTCAAGCTGTAAGAGAGACACAGATATATTATGATGACAATGGGCCGCATATAATCTATGTATGTGTAATGGGTGTCCAGAGATAGCACTTTGTTACCAGAGACACAGTATTGTAGGGAAGTTAAAGCAATTCAAAAAAACCAACATGACTTGGCATTTGGGTTTCCTCCTCAGGGTACAATGGACTGTATTCATGGCTTCCTAGGAGGTCAGGCCCAGGAGAAGGCTACACAGTGGACATCAGCTTGGTGTCATTGCTGTGTACCTCTCAGAGCAGAGAAAGAATCATTAGTTTCTGAAGCTACATTTCTATGACCCGGCCCTGTAATGCCCAAGAGTCCGATTTTGCTTTTCTCACACATGAGGAGGATGGAGGCGAATGGAGGGAAGTGAGTATGTCTCCCACAGATGACATAAAGTAAGTAGCAGGCCCCAGGACAGAATGAACATCTGAATAATAGCTATGCAGACAGGCCTAGACCAGGGAGAGCGCTAGAGCCAGTCCTAAAGGAAAGCTGGTCTTACCTTAGGCTCTGGGTGAAGGCCATAAAACAAAGTCACCCTGAGTTTGCCTCAATCTGACTGGACAGCTGCCACGTATGGCTTCCTGATCCAGGGCGTCTGTCCAAAGTCACTGCAGCCCTGTGTGACACCCATCCCCAATCTGGCTGCATGTGAGTGCTGCCAATTACATCCTAGGACACATGACCTTCTAACTGAAGATATCATTCAACACAGCCAGCAGGAGCCTTGGGCAAGTGGAGCCAACATGGCACCCTTAAGCCATTCACCAACAAAACAGACAATGGCTGAGGCCAGGCTGGGCAAGAGAAGACTAGAGAAGCTCACAGCACCCTATGACGTCAGAATTAGGACCTGCTTAAGGACAAGCCACAGGGACACCAGAGAACACAGAGGCCAACCTCGAATAGTGCCCACTGGCCAAAACTGGGGCAGGCTGAGCACTAAGATAACATGGCATGGAGTAGGCAGCCAAAGTATAACCTGTGCATGAACAAAGAAGTAAGTGTATGTGTGGGAAGACAGACATCCCTGCTAGAACTGATAATAATTCCAGGATGTAGAACTTAATGGTCTCCATCTATGCCTGCTGCTGGAGGAAAGACGTGACTTCATGTCAGGCGGAGGTGAGGTAACCGAGGTAAACAGCACCGTGCAGCCCCAAGGTGCGGTGTTGACAATGGTAAGCCACTGATATCAGCATGAGCAAACACTCACACTTATCTTCCACACTGCTGTGAGGGCTCATTGAAACCTAGTGGGAGGTGCAATGGCAAGAGCAGCCACACGGGTAGGGCACAGGTGAGAACAGGTGACTGTGACCCTCAAGCCAGGCCCCCAGGGCCCGGCAGCCAAAGGCTATGCGCTTCCCCAACAGTGTCAAACACACAAGTTTGTAAGGGACATTTTATGTTCACTCTGACCTACAGAAACTGAGAGACATTCTAGAAAAATCTTGACCAGAGCTTCCCGAGGTCATCAGAGCCATGCAAAGCAAGGGGAGGTGGGACAGGCAGAGGACACCAAAGGGTGCACAGGGTCTTAGTACAACACTAGATCCTGGGTAGGGCAGAGGAAGGGCCCTGCGTAGTGCTGGTGACATCTAGACACACTGCAGTTCTGTGCACAGTAGGAGGAGAGCTGGTTTCCAGGCTACAAGGTCTCACGCAGTGGGAAGGCCGGCAGGAGAAGAAGGTTTGTGACTGGAGTGGAAATTTAGGCACTGTCACTGACACCCCCTCCTCCCCAAAGAAAAAGTCTGTTTGGATCATCAAAGACTGCAATTACACCTGTTTAATGTGTGTTCAATGTAACCAGAGCTCTAGACCTGTGTAGCAGCAACTAGCAGAGTAACAGGAGATGAGCTGGGAAGTCCAAACACTGACACTATATACAGCTGAAGGGTGAGGCAAAGTCAAGACAGTGCTCAGGAGGGAGGGATGGGCCCTGCAGGGGCCCTGCAGAGCCCCTGAGGGATGGGCATTGCAGGAGGGAAATGACTGCTATGTCTCTGTTGGCTGTGGCCTGGAGGGCCACAGTCCTGCAGCCCTCGCTCTGCTATAGTGGCAGTATGTAGGTTTAAACTGAATCCTGTTCTACTAACCAACGAAGACTCAGAAGTCAGATGTAGGGTGAAAACATGCTACAGCAGAGAGTCTGAGAAGCAAGCAGCTGATCTTGATTTTTGGCTGGAGATGTGTCTCTTCACTTGTCCCCACACCAAAAAGAAGTGCCAGATTCTAGTCCTGCCCTTTCCGTCCTTTTCATCTTTTCTATTCTATCCAAAATGCCTGGCTTCTCTAGGCTAATTCTAGTCAGCTAGTCGCTGGCTCGCCGCATGATTCAGGGTTAACTTTATTAACTGTCTCAGAGTGTCACAGAGTGATCAAACATCCCACAACAAATAACCATGGACTCTTCAGAGCTGGGTAGTCCCAGGCTCAGGCAGAGAAAATCCCTGCAGGGACAGCCAAACCAGAATTCTATAGGTACGCTGGAAACAAACCACAGAACATCAAAGGCAGTCTCAGATCCTCCAAGTTACTAGAGAAAGTGGGTCACCTCCACAGTCAGGGTGGGGGGCATGCACAGCTCTCCAACAGCAAGGGAAGCAAAGGGCAGCAGCTTGCTATCTCTATGTGCTAAGAGGAGACACTGGTTACCCTAATCATATGCCCAGTGAAGGTGTCATTAAGATCAGGGTGGAACAAAGGCATCTCCCAAAAACAAAGTGGGATGTTGTCCATGCTGGTCCTTTTCCTAGAGAACACCCACAGGATATTCCTGAGACACAGTAAGAATGTCCTGCGGGAAGGCAGGAAATGAGGGAATAATGGGGAAGAAACCGCCTGAATGCAATGTGGCCCAGACCCAACGTGGGTGACACATGACAGCAACAAAAATGTGCAGTCAGTGAAATTAAGTAAGTGAGAGAAAGACATGTAGCCTGGGAGGGGTTGGGACGAGGCAGCCAGTTTGGCAGAAAAACATGCAAGACCTAGTTAAGTTAGAATTTCCGATGAACAACAGTTTCTTAAATACACAGGGGTCATATGTTCACCTTGGAGATCCCAGTGAGGCCACTGTGGTCCCAGCCTTGGCTTGCCAGGGATAACAGCACCTCCCAACCCTGCTGAGGGCACTGGCTCACAGTGAGGATGCCTGCTGCACATCTTTCAACTGGGCACTGAAAACACAGGGAGTTTAGGAAACCCTCGATCACATCACATTAAGAGACAGCAAGGAAGAAAAGTTGGGAGCTACAGGACAAGCCAGACAGAATGAGTCTGGAAAAGTGATCAGAAGAGCTGGACGTGACCAAGGTCCCACTTACAGCAGATAGCTGGTACAGAGACAGAGTCCAGCTTTGGGCTGTTCGGCGAAGATGTACATGGAATCTAGGAGGACGGCCAGAAGCCAGTGACAAAATCAAGGGTTGCCAGAGCACAGCTGGCTGAAAGAAGGCTGAGTGCATCTAGATGTTTAGCACAGAGATCTGAGGGCTGGCTGTGACTGGATATAAAGATGTATGTCGGTTCATCCAAAGCACAGGCTGGCTTGATACTCAACAGTCTTAAGATGGGAAGTACTGAGAAGGGACACAAAGAAAAGTCCACCCTGGTGGGAGACAGCAACAGGCATTCCTGAGACACAGCAGATAAACCAGCCCAGGAAGCAGGAGTGACTAAGAGATTCCAGAAACACGTGGAATGTCTGTGCTGATGGACCACATAAGACCACCCAGGCATCCCTGCCAACCACATCTCTTCTGTATGACAACAATCTGTTAGGAACCGGTACAGAGACCATCAGTGTTCATGTTCACATGCCTCTAGGTCTAAGCACACTAATTCATGAGATGGAGAGTCAGTCAGAGAAACCACTAAGTGAGGGTTGCTTAGGCAGCTCAGAGGGTAAAGGTGCTTGTTGTAAGTCTGACAACCTGAGTTCAATCCCAAGAACCCCCTTGATGAAACAGGACTAATTCCTCAAAGCTGTTCTTTTACATCCATATGTGCCATAGAATAGGTAGATAGACACATGCACCTGTGAAAAGACTGGGAAGATGACTCAATGGACAGTGTGTACAAGCAGGAGGACCTGAGTTTAAGTTCATGCCCCCACCAGCAGATGGCAATGTTCCCAACAGGGACTGATGTCTGGTTACATGGGGCCTGTGGTGGTTTACTCTTAGGAGGTGTGGCTTTCTTGGAGTAAGTGTGTCACTGTGGAGGTGGGCTTTGAGGTCTTATATATGCTCAAGCCACACCCAGAGTCTCAGACCATTTCATGTTGCCTACAAGTCAAGATGCAGGATACTTGGCTATTTCTCCAGCACCAGGTCTGCCTACAGGTCACCATGTCCCACCATGATGATAATAGACTAAATCTCTGAAAATGTAAGCCACCCCAACTAAATGCTTTCCTTTATAGGAGTTGCTGGGGTTATGGTGTTTCTTCACAGCAATAAAACCCTAAATAAGATAGGGCCCAAGGCCCCTTGTAGATGGGAAGCAAGGATAGAACAGAGATCCTCAGACATGGGGTCATGGCTGCAGCACAGATGCAGTGTCATCTCTTCAGACAATACTTAGAACATACATTTATCACGGCTTTGGAGCAAGGTGTGTGCCAACAGTGCACGTTCACAAGGTGTGTGCCAACAGTGCACGCTCACAAGGTGTGTGCCAACAGTGCACGCTCACAAGGTGTGTGCCAATAGTGAATGCTCATAAAGTTCACCAGAAGGCTGTAGCGGTTCTTCTAGAACCCTGGTTCCTTTAGCTCTCTTAGGCCTCCCTTGTACCAGACTTCCTCCAGATTAAAATAAGTTTATTACGCATACACAGGGCACCATAGGCCACATGCTTGGTTATGTGCAGCATGCTCGCCATGCTAACAGCCTCTGTGACACCCAAAGTCCCCAGCCACGACTCTTCATCTTTAGTCGCTGGGCCAGCACAGTTTCTTCACCACGAACTGCTGCTGCCTTCCACACGACCTGCTCAGAGTAATGGCTGAGCAGACCACCCCAGAATTCCAGGGCTCCGTCCTAGCAGGAGTCCATAAAGGATGGACATGGGGCCAACTGCCATCCGAGCTGGCCACGTCTGCTCTCTACCTGTGCCAGCTGCTCTGAAATCTTAACTGCTTGCTCTTTTTCCTTTCTGGAAAATCTTTCCTCATGAAAGCTGACATGAAATCTGGAATGGATGAATATGGTGGCCTTTCAGCAGTGAGATGCTCTATGTCCCCAAGAGAAAGGACACAGTGCAGAGGGAGCTGATCCTCAGTGACGAAGCTTCTATGTGTTCCCCTTCGGAACAGAGGAAGGATCAAACTGTATTTGGACACTTGGGATCTTATGATGAGTCTGCACTCCAGGCTGTGAAGACAACTATGCTTACAGATTTTCTTGTAATGCCACATGTAGAGCACTTCATGAATGAAGGCTCTGCTCTAGGGATGGGGAGGTGGGAGCACAGGGAAAGCAGTTCCACACATCTCAAACACCAACCCTGTCGCAACTGGGGCTCTATCTTTTGTTCACAAGTGCTGATCAATTGTGGGCTTCATATGGCATCTAAGGTTTAAGGTAGTCACATCTAGCCCTGTCACCCATACTTGCACCCTCCACTCCACCAGTGCCCTCTTCCTCTTCCCTAACAGTTTCCCTATCATATGCTGTTCTTATTGTTTCCAGATTTCACACACACACACACACACACACACACACACACACACACACACACACACACACACTAAATGCCTGTTCACTCTACTCCATGGTTGTGTAGTCTAGTTTGTGCCAGTACCATACTGTTTTCATACCAAAACTGGGTAACACTGCAGGCACATCTCCCTGATGATCAAACATGAATGCAAAATACTGGGGGAAAAAGTACAAACTCAGTTCAACATCACATTATAAGACCACACATCATAACCAAGTTAGATCCAGTTCAGGCAACTAAGGATGGTTCAGTGTGATTAAACTGGTTAAGTGTGATATAGCATAGAAACAGAACCGAGGGAAATCACATAATCATTTCAATAGACGTGGAAAAAGTTTTCTGCAAAATTCCACATCAAATCCTAATGTTACGAGTAAGTTTTTCGCCAGTCTGGTCACACTGCAGTGCCAGCCCCAAATAATACACACAGAGACTCTGTATTAGATATAATTCTGTTGGTCAGTTACTAGTTTCTTATCTGCTAGCTGTCTTAATTATTAACCTATTTCTATTAATCTAAGTACTTCCACGTGGCCTCATCTTACTGGAGAGAGGGGCTGTCATTCTTCTCTCTCCATCCTCCATCTTGGATCTTCTCCCTACTACTTCCTCTTTCCTCCTAGTCTCCTAGCCCCGCCTATCTTGCTTTCCAATTGGCCAACAGTGCTTTATTCATTAACCAATAAGAGAAACATATTTCCAGAATGACATTTCTCATCACTCTAACACAGTGCAGAAGAGGTTGGAACAGTAGGCTAACAAAGTCAACACAGCAAAGCCCACACACAGCCACACAGGCACCGTCACTCATTAAAATCAGAGTTTGGAACCTTAGCCAGAGCAACAAGAAAAGAGAAAGAAATAGAGAAGTTGCAAATATCAAAGGAATAAGTCAGATTATCCCTGGGCCTACAATACTAGACTGTACCAAAACATTCTTAAATCTGATAAACACCATTAGCAAAACAAACAAAAAATCAATACTTTTAAATATTTATTAACAGATTAGCTGAGAAAAACCCATAAATCTGTTCAAAAATAAAGATAAACTTGAGATGTGAGATACTTCTGTAATGAAAAGTATACAACACCAAAGGAAAAACCTAGAAGATGGACAGACTTTCCACATTCACAGACTGGGAAAGTTAGTATTGGGGAAATGGCCACATTATTGAAAATCATCTATAGACTTACTGCAGTCCCTATCTAAATTCCAATGACTTAATCTTTACACAACCAGGGAGTTGAGCTGGAAACACAAAGGCACTGAGCAGCCAAAGCAACTCTGGACAGAAACTAATACTGGAGGCACTGCGGTACTCATTCCATACTCTACTCTAGAGCCACAGGAGCAAAAGCAGCGTGGTCACTCCTGTATTTAAAGCTACTTAATGGGCAATCTAGAAAAATGTCAATTACTTTCTGGAAACCTGGAATCTATCAGTGAAAAATACCTCGCACCCATCATTATATAATGAAGAGACACAGTATGTAGAAAACACAAAGTCAGTGCAGCAGAGACTGTGTGTGTGTGTGTGTGTGTGTGTGTGTGTGCCCACACGTGCGTGTAGTGGGGGCACAAAGCTCTATGAGAAACAAAGCTGGGCAGGGATGCAGAGTGTGCTGTAGTTTCCAACCCAGCAACCAAGTGGGCTGAATGACACATTTCCAATAGGTTTCTATACCCAATGAAAGCTACGTGGAGCTGGTTCTGCAGGGTTCCCCATCACTGGCAATGCCACTACACACTTACTCATCCATCCGCTGCAGAGTACAGCCTTGCCAATGGCTGGCTTGGAATGAGGCACACAAAGTAGTCCTGATTATGTGTTTCTAGTGTGGGCCTACCTAGCAATTCATTTTTATGGTGTGGGCAAGGCCTGGTCAGCTGTGTTTTCTAAGCTGGAATTCAAGAAGAGATTCTTACAGACATCTAAGGCAGATCATGTCATTTGCCTTTCATGGGCTGGCAGCGGATGAGTCTTCTTTTAACCTTTGAAATCTGCCATTAAGCAGATGCCATCATCTGCTCTTTCCCATCAAAATAAAGCTCCTGGAAAGAACCACTTACATCCTCTTCCAGATCCTAGAATCCACACATTTGTCCTGTCAGCCTGATGCCCAGTGCACTGGGTCACCTGTCCTTCTCAGTAGGGAAAGCACATCCATTCTTTCCAGGAACCCTGACTCAGGCTCCCTGTCATAACCTACTGGTCAAATACCACAACGGTTTGCAGCCAGCTCTTCCTCTGGGCTCTAGCTGCACATGTACAGTTTCCAGCTGAGTGTTATTTGAAAGCCCTGATAACAATCGTGTCCAAAAGGGCCTGGTTTCCTTCTGCCTCTTCTCCCTGCTCTGAATTCACACCTTAGGATCACACTACAGGACATGGCCCTGGTCTGCCTTATGGAGTTACCTAGGACCCAGTGCCCTGAAGGCTATGTAAGACTGCCTGGTCTCTGCTCTGGTTCTTTGTGAGGTATGTGTGCAAATCCTTTGTCAGAGCTTTGGAACTCAGGACCAGGGCAGGGAATGTCAACAAAGGACCCTCCTTAGGCATAGCACAAGGAAATCCACATAATGGTCACTCTACATTACCCTCAAAAGCTTTATTTGACCAGGCCCTTAAAGACTGCTATGCAGGCCAATATCCCTGACTTTGTCCTGCAATACCAGTGGGGCTGTTCAGAGCCTTGACCTGAGCATCACTCCTGAATGGAGAAGGCAACTGGTTGCTGGGTAAAGAGGTCCTGACCTAACCCTGAGCTAGTAATTCAGCTTGAGCATGCTGATACCACCTGGACTGTCTGGTTTTGTTTGTCAACTTGACACAAGCTGGAGTCATCAGAGAGGAAGGAGCCTCAGTTGAGGATATGCCTCCATGAGATTCAGCAGTAAGGCATTTTTTTTTTTTTCAATTAATGATCAATGGGGGAGGGCCCAGCCCATGTGGATGGTACCATCCCTGGGCTGGTAGTACTGGGTACTATAAGCAGACTAAATAAGCCAGGGGAAGCAAGCCAGTAAGCAGCTTCCATCCATGGCCTCTGGATCACCTCCAGGTTCCAGCCCTGCTTGAGTTCCTGTCTTGACTTCTTCCAAGGACAGACTATGATCTGGAAATAAAAGCTAAGTAAACCCCTTTCTCTCTAGTTTGACCTTTGGTCACAGTGTTTTGTCTCAGCAGAAGAAATCCTAACTAATACACCACCCAAGCCCATGGACAAGCACAGCCATCACATGACTCATGACATGACCGACACAGGAAACACACTGCGGCAAGCACCTCTGAGAGTCTCGGGCCAGCTCTGCGTCTGTTCTGTTCATCTTTTAGCCAAGGTCACACTAGTCCCACTACATGGAGTGGGGAACAGCTGCAGTCCAATACCGGTGAATGGCCTAGCCAGGTCAGAGACCAAGGCCTTCCACTGCCTGAGCTTGTGGCAACAGCCTTTTGCCTGCGGTGTGGCACATTCTGCAGAGCTGTGATGACTCCATACCTCATTTCCCAGCAGAGCAGAAACACATGCTTCAGAAGCGTCACAGATGGCCGTCAGGTCATGGCCGCCCTCAAGAGCCAGCACAATTCGGCCACCAGCTAGGCCCATCAGCTGCTTCGTCAAGTACCCAAAGCCTGCAAAGGCACAAGGACATGTGAGTGGAGCACGTCAGAAACTCCACACAGCACCACCTGTAAACAGCAGGGCTGAGAGGTTATCTTGAGTAACCCAGAACAAATGAAAAAATCCATTAGTTTGGCTTCATCCAAGTGAGTGTGAATTTTGGTTTCAGTGCTATACCTTTATAATGCAGCAAACTCCATTCAAAGGTTTCGTACCACTTGTCTTTCAGGGCATCTGATGTGCTCAGAAGTAGAAAAAAGCATGCCCGTGTCAACGCTGTGTGTGGTGACAGGACTTTTCCACATCCACGTCTAGGCATCTACTTCCATCTAGGGCCATAGAGCCTTCTCTCACATTGCATATCACTTGGTGCCTAGGGATACATGCACCAGGCAGGCTGATGTTGGCTAGGCACTAGGAAAGCCACAGTAAGCCAGTGGCCTTGACCAGCCTGTACCCCCTGCTAGTTGTGAAATGCTAATAGGCAAAAATGGATAATAAACACAGGTATGACTGATGAAACACTGATGCTGGCTTTGGGGCAGCCCAGAATGTGGTGACTACCAGGTATGGTGGGCACTTTTTGCTCTCTGTCTGGACCCAGGACAGTGGGCTCAGAGAGGTCCTGTAATAGAGCAGGGATTCCCCAAAGGCCACCTCTAGCTCATTATTCCCTTGCTGAATCCATACTCTCCCTGGTGAAGGTGAGAGACAGATAGCCCTCCTTAATTAGATGTGCCGGTGGGCAGGGAGGAGAGAACAGACAAAGGATGCTAGGCCCTTGACTGGATAAGGTACTAGGTGTTCAGGACCCTAGGCTCTTTGTTGCCTCTGTGCACCATAGCTGGGTGAGAAACTGGCAGGCCACTGTGGGTGTTACAGCCCAGAGGCCTTCCATATCTTTTCCACATGCTGCAGCAAGCAGAAGCAGAGGTCACAGACAGTGCCAGCAAGTTCCTCCGTGGAAAAGCGGGGTAACTATATGATACAGATCCTCTTTCTTGGCTCCTCCTCTAGCTCCACAGCTTATTCAAAGATTAGAGGACCTGCTCCTCTAGCAGAGTAAAAAACTCAGCACCAAGCACATGCTGGCTAGGTAGGGCTGAGGCCCCACCCTCTCATACTTGGAGAAGGGCTGAATGCTCATCAAGTGCCTACAGTCAAGCTGACAGAACCTAGTGCATGGCCCTTTGAACTGAGTTTCTGCCCCCACGGTGGAGTCTAAGGCTTTCATCTCTTAAGTCTCCTGCTGCTCAGGGCTTACTGATGGCTGTTAGCGCAGTCTCACTCTGGGTAAGAAATGAAGGTGATGTCCTTCCTATGGCCTCACACAGAATACAAACTAGTTGTGGGATGATCAGACAGAGAAGGTAAACTCTAGTGACTTACATTTGGCAGAGAGATTGTACCCTCCAAGAGGTGTGGGGTGGCCCTCCACAGCATCGAACCCTGATGACACCAGTACCACATCTGGGGCAAACTCATTTGCAATTGGCATGACGACCGTTCTGCAAAGGACAGGAGAAGGCATTACTGGGTCAGTGAAGGACATGATATATGGAAGACGGTAAATGTTAAATACATAGTTCTTTGAGGCCTGTGGCCCCAGCAGAACTGGAAAGAAATCAATGCAAGTGCCCTTCTGGCCTCTCCCAAACCTGTGGCTTACCAGCTCAGCTACCTTATCCACAACAAAAAGAACACACTTTACAGGGCTCTTATCTAAGAGAGGCACACTGTGATAGTTACTACTGATGTCAATCAGACAGAATCTAGAATCACCTCCTCAGATACAATCCACTGATCATGCCCATGAGGGATTATCTAGATTAAGTTAGCCACTGGGCTAAGGTAGGAAGGCCCATCCTAGATGAGGCTGACACCATCCCATGAGCTGGGCTCCTGGACTGCCAAGGAAGCTGACACCTGCATGTTCCCCTTCTTTGCTTCTTGACTGTAAATGCAATTCAAGCCCTTGCCTCAAACTCCTGATGCTATGACCTTTCAGCCATGACACACTTGAATTGTGAGCCTAAATAAACCCTCCTTTCCTTAAGCTTCTTTTGTCCCAAATTATGTGGAGATTAACTAAGACATGGTCACCATCCAGCACAAGGACTGGGAACTACACATTGCTGAGAAGACAAGGGCCCTGGCTACCTTTCTGTAGCCCTGTTAGGGTGCAGTGACATGGGCTTCCCACCTACCCGATGGTGCTCTGTGCCCATACCAACAGCCATCTGTGTATGTGTGAGACTGAATTAAAGAGAAAACAAGACTCTTAGAATGGCAAAAGGGAAACTAATGTCACAGTAAAGAGAACTGTGTAATACATGAACACCATTGAATAGTTCAAAGGCTAAGTCACTCTACCTCTCAATGTAAAACCTATTAGCCATGCCAAGTCATGGTGCAGAGCCATGAACAGTCCTGTAACTGACCCAAGAGGCTCCAAGCATCCTCAGAGATTACTTCATTAGAACGGCCAACACCAACTTTCAGTGTCCCTCTGGGGGCCAGCACGGACCATGAAAATTACCTATTTATGGTTTCCCAGCTCTAGAGTATTCTGTGCTCCTGGAGCAGATGAAGAAGGTAGGTGTGGAACCTGGTCATGTGACTGTACAGATAGGCTGTGAGCCTGTTGGGGCCCTTTGCATCTTGCTGGGCTGCCTGTTTGTGAGGCCACCCCGCCTAATGTGTGCCACCTGGAAGGCAACTGTGTCTCACAGCCTATGTGGTGGGCATTTACACGTTGTCTGCAGGAGCCCCACAGGAGGTAAAGACAGATGTACCAGGAGCTGGTCATTCATACTGCCAAATACTCAAATGCTGACTCAGCGTTCAACAACTCCATCTTTTCCTCCAAACTTTCATATAAATTCCCTAACAACAAAATCAACAGGAGTATCAACTATGAATTTAATGGGACCAATGCAGGAGTGATTCTAGGTGGAATCCTGGCTGCTTATTCCCCAATTCCAGGGTGGCATAACACATGCTATCTATCTGTATCAGGGCTCCCAGGGACAGCTCAGCCAGAGAACGGCAGGGTAGACTGGTGAGGCTTCATTTGTTACTTCAGTTGGCTTGGCTCTGGTCAGTATGGAGAGGTCTACTAAAAACATACCAAGTTCAACCTCAGGTAACTGAAGCCTAGACATGTATTCATGTATTCCAAACTAAAGTTGGGCAGTTGTGGAGGGGTTGGGTTTCTGCTGCTCTGGAGGGTGTTTATCCTGGAATTATTTGTCTCAGGCTTTCCAAGGCCAGTATACACCTTGGGGGCTCTGTGAACCATTGCTAGAGTGTAGGGCACATCCAGGTAAGCACAGATGAGGAGGGCCAACACACTTTCTGCAAAAGTCTGGGCAGGTCTCTTAGTCATGGGGCCACATGGTCTTGGGCAATACTGGTGGTACAGATGCCTTGTGATGTAAAAGCAACAGCCATAATGATGAGGAAAGATGAAAATGCTGACGGATTCCACATGGGAGCCATGCCTGTGGGTATCTGCTCTGGACTCATTTGCATGGCTAATGTACCGCTTTTCAGGGTAGCTCCTTAGCATCAGACTACATAGCTGTCAGTTGTGCCCCGATGCAACAAAGGCATACCCAACTATCATTTCATTGGTACAAAGTATTTACACTGAATGTCTACCCAGTGAATACACTGCCATTTGTCTAGAAACTGCCACAGTGGTCAGGGGCAAGGAGTTCATGTTCTAGTCAGTCACAGGATGGAGAGAATGCCATTGGGTCCTCTGGCTTCTATGTCATGGCATCATTGCGTGGAGCGGACTTGTCTCCCCAGGGTATGCTCTACAGGCCTGTGTGAGGTCCAGGGTACTCCTTTGGAGTGTGGGACACTGGACTGACAAGATGGCTAGACCAACAGTGGTTGTCCACATTACTCCAAGGAGACCACATCTTAACCATTCAATGAAGATATTGTCACAGAACCCTTGTCTTCAGCAGAATCATGAACCTATCACGGTTTTGACAGGGATTTTAAAGTGTCCCCCCCCCCAGTAAAACCATAGTTATCTGTGCCAGCTGTCATTTGTTCTAAGTACTATAGTGAGTGTATATGGTGGGTTATGAAGTATAACTGAGCTATTTAATATCCAATACCTTCCCCAAGGAAAGTTCTGCTAAAAATCATTATTAAATGGAGCTCATGCCACAAGTGCTGTTTCTTACACTTGCTGTGTGTTATTGTCAAGAACCAAACCAAAACCATTCCCTGGGCTGGAGCCAAAGTGGCCCCACGTACACAGCAGCAGTGGATAGTAGCGAATGCGGTCTTTGAACGTCCCAGGCTTGGTATCTTCTCAGTTTACTTTGAAAATGTGCCAAAGCCAGGGTAACTGCTGATGGCTATGAATGTAAGGTTATGTGTTAGAGGGTGTGTCCAGCATCCATGTGTGACACCATGGGCATCTTTGCATTTTGTTGGGACATGGCTTTTTACTTTAAGTATCAGCTAGATACTCCCTGATGTACTGTAGCTATGCACCACCATGGAGGAAACAACCTCAAAGAGTGTCCCTATGTAACTAGTATTCAAAGAAGATGGGAGACTGAGCTTTTTTACCTCCCAAAATAACTTTTGAATCATCAACTTAGTTTCTGAAATAGAAGAGCCTTTTGTGTTTTTGCGTGTATTTGTGTCTGTGAGTGAGATTGGGGGCAGGGAGGTAAAGCTTATCATCTGCCTGGGGGAAGGACAAATGGGTCAAAATGGACAGCCCTCTGAGAAGGCTGCAAATATGACCACAGCTCATCCCTTGGTGCGGGGAGGTAATGATGATTGCCTCAGGTACTCAGATGCTCAATATAGTGCCTAGGCCGAGGGGATGCAGGCTTCTCTGAGGGTGGAGTGGTCCTATGAATGCAGTGTGATGCTGTATGTTGCATAATGAGTGTCTCTTCTATAACTTAGTCAGTCAGTCTTCATTACTAGTGTTGTCCTGCTTTGAAACCCACCACCTCACAGCTCGTGGCATGTGGCTCTCATGTATATGCACAGCCTAGAAGACACATGCCCACATCTGTCTGCTTGCTTGGTGAAAAGCGGGGCTGGTGCACCAGGCAGGGATGCAGGCTCACACTGCATCTCACAGGGGAACTGTTCATTGCCAGCTATGGGAAGGCCAGTACCAGGCATACAGTAGGGGGCCAGAGCCATATACTACGTGTCTCCGAGAGGGCAGAATATACCCAGGGCCATCTCTGAAATACACACTAACTGCAGTAAGTGTCTCAAGAGCCGGGTTCTCAGATCCTGTGCCTTGGGAGCCTCATAGCATTCTCTGGAGTCACTGAACCCATCCTTCTAACTCAATCCAGGCTGGTGGTTGCAACAGCTTGGGGGGGGGGGCACTAAGCTCTGTGTCCTTTCATCCAGGGGTCAATGTTACGTAGCAAAGTCACCAAGGTCCACTCTCCATCTTGACACTCCGCTTCCACCCTCATCTCCATTTGCTCCTACTCCACTTCCGCTACACTGACAATCTCTAATTGAGAGCTTGCCTTTTCCTCCCTCCTCTCACTTCCCTACAGCAGGAGAAAAACCCCAGACTGTACACAAGCACCCTCAAGTTGACAAGGGCTTGGGTTGATGGGAGACTCTTCTGGCTTTCTCCCGGATCCAGTTCCTGTCTCTTAGGGAATCAGAGGAGTAGGGTCCTCACTTTTCACACCTAGAACATTGTCCTAATGCACCACACTTGTCTTTCCTGGGTTACTAAATGCTAACTTACACACTTTTTCACAATGTCCGCAGCCAGAGCATTCTCTGCTACATATGCGAACCTGCTCTTCACACTCTGGCCTGTTGTTGCACAACCCCCTACAAGCAAGTGCTAGAGATCACATTGCTCACATTCATATTAGTCCTAGTTCCCTGCAATGCCATAGCTTGCTGCTGTTTAACAAGGTAGTCTCGTCCTCCACACCTCTTCACCATTCACTGGACTGGTCCACTCAAACACCCTTTCTGCTTCCTCCTGGGGCTAGGTCTTTTACTCAGGTTGCAAGAGACACACAAGGCAGAAACTCTCAACAGCCCCCACCAGGATTGATGTGGACAGGCAATTTCCTTGAGGATGCCCCTTTTCCCATAAGGCTTGGCTTTGGCCTCACCTCTGGGGGCATCTGAGGCCCCCCTGATGGTTGGGAGCCAAGCGGGTCAAGAGAGGCTGCTGACCCACTGGACTTCCGATGCTGAGCTTTACCCTTCTGTTTCTTGACTTAAGACCACCACCACTGTCTGTGCTGGAATTCTATCTAGGGAAGTGGTGGAATGCCACGATAAACAGCAACTACCTTTAAAAAGGTAGCCGACAGTTTAACCAAATCTCTACACATCAAGCGCATGTCTCTCAGACACGCAGCCGTTCAGAAAGTAGAGTGCTGACTACAGCAGGGATCACCAGAGTATGCATTCACAGAGACCATGTGTGCCACCACCCACACAGCTGTTTGGAAAAGGCAGCAACAGCACACGCTGTACAATAGTATGTACAACAGTATGAAGGCTCACAGTCCACAGAAAGGCAGTAGGCTTTGTAGTTGGAGGCCACTGAGAAATTCAAGATGCCACTCTGAACACCAGCACCATTGACATCATTGCTAGGCTCCCTGACGCCAGGCATGGCTGTTTGCTGCTGAGCTAGGCATTGAGGACAGGTCCAGGGGACTAAGGACAGATGGTGCACCACTCACTCTCTGCTTCCCAGCCCGGTGCTCCGCCTGAGCTCTGCCAACTTCAAAGCTGTGTCTGGCTCGAGGCCTGGTTTGAATTACAGTCCCTTTTCTCCTACAAGTCTCTGAGCCTGAGGAGAAAGTGCTGGTCACTTCTGGATCTCATTAGGAGCAATTTTCTTATCTTTTCTTCATCAGAGGCTTGATCCCCTGGAAATGTGACCTGGCAGGAGAGGGCTCTGAAGAACAAGGTGCTGCCTTTGAGGCATGCCTTGTCCCAGGGGGCCCTAAAGGAGGAGACTGAAGAAGAAAGGGGGAATGAGCCTCTGACCCTTCTTTCCCCACCTGATGCCCAGGGAACCATAAATTGTGAACTTCAAAGTACTACTTTACATTAAAATAATAATAATAATAAAACCCCAACCTGAAACAATTTCCCTTTTCAAAGAGGTGACTGAAGCTTTTGAGGCACTCTGAATAAGGGATTGTCATTCATGCACTTGGCCAGACGTTAGGACAGATGTCAGGGTGACTGAGGAAGGAAGGCTCACCTCAAAGGCTGGCCAGGCAGGTCAGACACTGCAGATACCTGGGCAGGCAGAGCAGGGGTCACTCTTGGCCCCAGCATCACAGAACTGTAGGCATACTCAAGAAATGCCCCCAGTGAGCACAACTCAGGAGGCAGAGAGCAAGGCCCAGGGGATGAGGGCCGGCCCAGTCACCGGCTGCAAGGACTGATGTGAGTGGAGGGTATCCATTACAGTCATCAAGAGAGTACCATCTTCTTTCTGTACCAGAGTCACCACGAGGCCTTCACAGGCCCTGACCTGCAAACAGCATCCACTCAGAAATAAAGGCCACTAACTGGGCAGCGGTGTCTTCTCACACCACTGACAATTCATGTTTCCCATGTTGTGGAAAGGGCTAGACTCTAGTGCTGGTGGGTGAGGACATGACACACCTTGGTCTTCAGGTTCAGCTTTCATAAACTTTCTAGTGTTTGGGGGAAATTTGTGAGGTGGGCACATATCAGTGGCATGTAGAGATGCTAGAACCAACCAAAGGGATCTGAGATAAGGGGCAGGTAGCAGTCAGCACAAAGCTTCTGGGGCCTGAGAGATCCCTGTCTACAACCGGCCAACAGCTGAACAGTAGACCTTTTTAAGTTCATCAAATGAGATGTCACTTATAGGAGCTACTGATAGGCTAGTTTACTCACACATGGGGCCAGGCCTTTACCATATGGACCCTAACCACCTTTCCAATGGAAAGTGGGACTGGGAACCTGCTTCAAAATGAGCAGGCAGACACCGAAAAGTGCTGGGAGTCTTCCATACCATAGCTACAGAGCACATGGCAAGTCTATGTAAATTTTACAGACACATCCCACCAACTAGGGACATATGCACTGGCATGCATATGGGCTCACACTTTCAGAAATCTATGCCCTACAGGCATATATGCATGTAGCAACACACACACACAGCCACATAAATATGTCCCTCAGGGATATACAGACATATGCACACATGTCTGCATACATACATGTCTATATGCACACAAGGTACATGCCTGTACACATGTGTTTCATATGTATAGAGGTCAAGGCATGACTCCAGAATTATAGGAAGAGGCAGAGAAGATCCCTGGAGGTCTGATGACGCTCTCATCCACAGTACAGAAAAGAATCTTATGTGACTGAAGGTCCCTTGGGCCCATCTGGACCCTGGGACCACTCTTGGGCTGTGACCAACTCGAGTGGACCTCCTCACTGCACAGCAGCAGGGGAAAGCTGCCCTGGTCAAACAAGAGGAAAGCAAGCGGCAGGCCCAGCCAGCTATTGCTGGCTGCATGAACGATTTCAGTCTGGCCTGATGGGAATAAAAAGAGCTGTGAACAATATAAGTCAATGCTTTTTAAAAAGCAACCACCCTACAGCCAATCAAAGGGGCCACAGCAGCACAAAGGACGTGGTATATGACTCTTGCCTGACACTCATACAAATAAAGGGAATAGTATTTCTCTTTTATTCATTTCCACTTGCTATCACTTCACAGTCTGTGGAAGAATGAGAAGGAAATGAGAGCTCTGAGATTTACACTTTCAGCTTCCATTGATTAATGAACTTTCCAGTGTAGCAGAAGGCTTTCTCCATCCCCTCACTATCTCCCCACCTTATTACTGGGACCCAAAAAGGCAGGCTCACACAAGAAAGGAGCTGGTAACAGAAAGGAGGAAGTAAAAAGATCAACGTCAGAGTCCCCGGCCTGCTCAGCTACCCCTGGACTCAGAAGGACCAGTCTCTGTGGTTAGACAGATGGGTACTCACCTGAAGGCTGCCAGGTACTCTGCATCTCCCATGGGGGGTTCGAGGCCACCCGTGAAAGCCATGTTGACATTGAAACCCACGCCTGGCCCTGTGCCCACCTGTGGCCACAAGGAGAGAAACTGCTGTCACCGACACTCTGAAAGGAATACCTGGCACAGCTGACACTTGAACTGGGGCGTGCTGGACCCATAGGGATAGTCACAGGTCCTGTGGGTTCCTGAGAGTGCTCACCAGTAAAGCTGGCCACTCCAGCACTGATATAAGCGCAGCGCTTTTTACAGGGCTGCAGTTGCTCACAAGCCCTCAACTAGGAGGAACTACTCAGAGATGCTCCTGAGGATCTGTGCATCAAGTGTGCACAGGACTGTCTTCAGAAGGCAGGCGCTGGACCACCAGGTGGTACCAGATGCCAGATGGATGGAGAGGGACATGGGACATGCATGAAGACACCACTAAAGACAGTGACTGGGAGAGCAGGTGTGCAGGAGGAGTAGTACAGCAGCCTCCCTTGGGCATGTATTTCCTGGCCCTGAGTAGAAAGAGAAACGATGTGTAGTCTCATTTAACATTAGACAAAATTCTGCCCCAAGTTATGCATAGCATAATCTAGGCTAGTATTTTTTGGAAGGGCAATCTAAGCTGGAAAGTGCTGCTTCTGTGTGTAGCAGTCAGGTGTGGCCTGCATGTGCCTTGCTCTCCAGATAGCTGCAGCTCCTGGCTCCAAGCTGGCTTATCCCCTAGTTACTCCCAAAGTTTCATCAATCCATATACCTCATCTGGTGCTCCACTTCCTGGGAAGAAGTTGCCGTCGTCATAGCGGTGAAGGGACATGTAGAGAACATTGGGGTCATTGTAGAAGGCCTGCTGGGTCCCATTCCCATGGTGTACATCCTGTGGCACCAAGAGAACTGGCTCAGAGAGGACCAAGCTTCAAGGACAGCCCTTACCATCCAGCTGTCCCCTCAGGTAGCAGTTCCTACTTGGCAAATACCCTAAAATCTTCAGCCTGGTTTTCACCTCACGGTAAGGTGGTAGGAGGTGCCGGCAGCATCACAGAGATGCTGAAGCCAGAGTCTAAGTCGGCAGTGTCTCTGTAACCTTCAGGATCAGAGCATATTCCTGACTTTAGTGAAGAGGATAAGCTATCTTCTAGCTGAGCTGAGGCTGTGATTTTAAACAAAGCCAGCTGACTCATCTTATGTGCCTGCCTAATTTGCAGTGAGCCATTTCTTTACTTCCATCAGGGAAATCACTGTTTGGGGGCTGGCTACTTATAGTCACATGAGAGGTGATTCTCATCACATACAGTATATGGCAAGTGAACTTAGGTGACAGACAGGTGCCCAGGCCCCCACCAGCTGTTTTCTTAAGACACAATGCCCATGTAACCATGAGAACCAGACGGTAAGAAAAAAGAGGCAGCTTTTGTTTCTGCCAGGCCTGTGGCCTCTATTGTAGGCCATGAGAATTGGTTCCCAGGACAGGCAGGCTGGGTGATGCTGCACTGCACAGCCATGTGTGTGAGAAGCTTTCTCTACAGGGCCATCTGTGCTCAGCATAGGATGGGGATGTCTAACCACTCAAGAAGACAAGTGTCCCCCATCTCATTCACCAGGTCCCTGCTGAGAGGAGGAGCTGTGGATAACACTGTGTATAGTAAGCCATTGTAGTGTCTATGTGTATCACCATCATTCAGTTTAATACATAGTGTGGCCCCAGGGAGTGTGTCCTGGCCTTGGGAAGACAGTGTCTGTGGGTCATCTGCAGACTCAACTGTTCCCCGAACATAACTGTCATGCCTATGCTGCCACCAAATGCATGGCGCTTCTCTCTGCTCATGTCTCTGCTTGTTCCCTTCCTCAGCAGCGACAGGCGCACTGGTATGTATAAAATTGCACTGCCTTCACTGTAATATTCTGGCAGTTTAGAACCCATGACTGGCAGGATCAGCTGGCCTCAGTCTTAATTAAAGCTGACTCTTAACGGGTACAGGCTTTATTTCTCTGATCTCTGGGATGTTTCTAGAAAGTTCAGTCCCTGATTCTAAGTTTCAGTTGAGGTGAAGGCCCATGCTCAGTCAGGCTGTCCACTGGGGAAACGGGGGTGGAGTGGGGGTACGGTGGGGAGGGCATGCATGCTCTTCCAAGTCATGCCTGGGCAGGCAGCACTCACCCAGTCCACAATGAGAATCTTGCTCACATTCAGTCTCTGCTGAAGAAGTTTGGCTGCAACTGCCACGGAGTTAAAGTAGCAGAACCCCCTGCAGAGGAGACATCTAGTTATTGTTTTTATTCAACTCACAGCAGAACATCTAGAGTCCTGTGAGTTTCTGGAGGGCTTAGGTGAAGGCCAGCTGGTTCCTAACTGGGGACCTGAACCGACACCAGTGATTAACCAACATACAGACAAACAGATAGACACGCAAGCCATGCTAAATACACATACATCACAGATCCATCCATAGGCACATAAGTACATGTGCCATGTAAAACCCACCCATCAGACATACATACCACTCTCAACAAATACACACTGAAGTACGAGCACAAGTACTATAAAAGACATCTTCCCACCATAGACAATCTCCCCAATCTAGAATCATTTGGAGATACTTATTTGGGATTATCTAATTAGGTCAGCCTCTGGGCAAGGCTCTGGGGAATTACCCTGCTTAGGTTAAGGAGGGTGGGTGGTAAAACCCATCAAAAATGTAAATGGTACTATTCCTGCAGGCTAGGGACCTAAAGCATCATCTCACACATCTCTGGAACAGCCTCCCTGGTATACTTTTCAACCACTCAAACCCTAACTTTCTCTTTGTTAAGCGCAACAAGGAAGGCTTTGGGCCCATACTTCTCATCCAACGGCATGACTCTCAAATCACATGTCTACCTTGGCTGTGGGCAAGGGAGACGAAGTCACAAACCTTGGGTGATGTGCACAAGGGCACTCAGCTCCTCCCCGGGCCCTCAGATGCTCACCCAGCCCTGTTACCTGTGATTGTTATCAGCCTGCTATGTCCACTTACATGGGTGTGCTCTCCTCGGCATGATGTCCTGGGGGACGAACCACAGCAAAGCCATTCTGCAAATGATAGCAGACAATGGGAAAGAGTAAAGACATTTCTTAACCCTCCAAAGACACTACAAACACCAGTCACCAGGTTCAGAATCTACAGGAGGATGCAGGTTCCATTACTACTGATCCCATGCATGGATGGAAGTGGGTGAGCTGAGCTTGGAGGAAGTCCGGCTCTTTCTTTTAGGAGTCTGTTCAGAGAGCCTGACCTGAGGAAGAAGACTCAATGACTGTTTCCTACAGGGCTGTAGCCAGTGGAAGTGGTTAAAGAAGCTGGGCATTATAACCCTAGCAGGAAGATCAGGAGGTTGAGGCCAGCCTGTTACACTTTGAGCTGGAGGTTAGCGTGTCTCAATGAGAACTTGTTTTCACATCCTCCCCTAAAAAAAACCCAAGAGTGTTCATATAAGCTGCTGCTGGATCACATTATACCTCAAGCAGGTCTTGGGCCCATCTCTATTCTGACTGTATCTTAGCTTTTGGGGGAACAGACAGCACACACAGCGCCCAACTCTACTCCTACCCAGAAGAATCCCTACAGGGTTGGTACTGGAAGGCATGACTGCACAGCCTCTGCCTCATCACTTTACAGAACACCTGCACATCACTGGGGCTGCTGCTGTAAAAACACCCAATCAAACATGACTCTCTCTCTCCTGCACCAGGAAGTGGTAAGGTCTTGACACACAACACACACACAACAACACAAAGGGCAGTCAAGGGGGCTGGGCTGACAGGACAAGGGCAGTGGTAAGGCTGAGAGGGAGCTCCACAAGACAGAGGTCACCCTCTGACACTTGGCACTGCAAACTTCCATTCTAATTCTTGTGGCTGCATGCTGCTGAGCCCTGGGCACTGGCTTCAGGGGTCTAACAAGCCTCAGATTCCACCTGCCTCTTGCACTGAGTGGACACTATGGATGGTGCTGGGCAACAGGCAAGCACGGTATGAAGACACCAGCCCCCACAATGAGCATAAACGAATCCACCAGGGGACATTTCTCCATGGACATCCTCAAGATAAGCTTCCACAGGGTATACAACCTTGCACATTCAGGCCTACATCTTTTAGCATATCATGTTGAATAGGGAAGACCGTGTGGAGGTTCTGAGCAAGACCATGTGAGGGCTAGCTCCAACAAGTCTCTCTGCACCTACCTATACCTGTGAGCTGAACCAGATCCCCTTTTCTCAGAGATAACTATTTTCATTGTAATGATGAGAGGAATTATGGGCCTTCCAACTTGGGGGAGATCTACGACACTTCTCAAGTAAAAGGAAGATGCTCACTCCCGGGAAAAAGACAGGCAGAAGCTGCCAGTGATGGGGTACGGACTTCACAGGTGCCTGTCCCTATGCACATGGCAAGGGACCCTAGCATGGGATAGTGTTTCTCATGGGATGAGTGTAGTATTAAGGGTTTAAACAAAACAAAAAACAACAAGGGGCTGGAGAGATGGCTCAGAGTTTAAGAGCACTGGCTGCTCTTCCAGAGGTCATGAGTTCAATTTCCAGCAACCACATGGTGATTTCACAACCACCTATAGTGAGATCTGGTGCCCTCTTATGGCCTGCAGGCAAACATGCAGGCAGACACGGTATACATAATAATAAATCTTAAAAACAAAACAAACATGATTTCTACTAAGGTAGATATGCTGAGATCTGGGGCCTTAACTTCCCAACTGCTGTCTGGCTCAGTAAAAATCCTATGTGGGCGAAACAGCTACACAACAGATGGCAGGCTGCAGGGTCCACACTATACCGGCCTTCAACACCAGCTACGTGCCAATGCTAGCATGGGTCAGGGAAGTTATCTAGTTTCCAGTTTTCACAAACACCACAAGATAAGTCCCTTTTCAATTCTCACTTACACACGGTCTCTCTCCCCGTTTCACAACGTGAGGCAGGTGTGGATCCAGATGTCATGCACTAGGCCAGATGCTGTTGTTATTTTACAACGAACATTCTGAAAATGTCTCATTTTAATCTTAATATAGCTGACACCGAGGAGGTGGGCTACATGAACAGAAGCTTCCTGGGCTCCTCAGCAACTGGGAGGGATAAAGGGCTCCAGGGATCCATTTCAGAATGCAAACCATACATTTTTGTCAGCATGAGCATCCAGCTTATCCTGGACACGAGTCGCCTTGCACCAATCCTTTCCAGGCCCTCACCAGCAGGGAAAGGGCCGACCCTCCTTGGGTCACCCAGCTAGATCTACCATACTGACTGACCTTTAGCTCTCCTGTGGCCACCTTGAAGACCAGCTCCACCACGCAGCCCACAGCCAGGCGGGCTGCCCCTGAAGAGTGTACTTCATTCCATATGGTGTCACTATCCACCTGTGAAAACAACATTCCTCAGTGAGCCAAATCCTGGGTCACTGTCACTGCCAACACATGGCTTGTACAGCTTGGATCCCCTAAACCACTGTCAGACAGAGCAACCCACATCAGGGAGAGTTCTCTTTGAGATGTGTCAAACATTAAGCACAGGAATGAAAAGCAGTAACGAGAAATGCCGTGTCCCGCCTCCTCTGGGATACCCTCCTCCTTCCACTTGTTTCCTCCAAACCTGGAGCTGACAGTAAGGATCCCGGGCTACTCATTTCCTTACTTATTAAACTGGAACTGTAGCTCACAATTGTTAGTGAGCAGAAAATGAAATGGAACACAAGCTACCGTCAGTGACTCGAAGTGCATGTTCTTACTATGGGCTGAGAGTAATACAATGGAACCAGGGCATGAGGCGTGGCAAAAACTACCAGCTCAGTCCCAGGTGGCAGAAAGGTGGCTTGTTAACTTCCATGTCAAACGGCAAGCAGGGCCAACCAGCTGTCTACTGGCTTTGGCAAAGGACAATGCATTACAATTTTTAAAAATAACAACTGTGTGTGTGTGTGTGTGTGTGTGTGTGTGTGTGTACGTACATGGGTATGCACACATGAACATGAATTCTTGTGGAGATCAGAGAACAACTTGTAGGAGTCAGTTCTCTCCTTTCACTACATGAATCTCAGGGACTGAACTTGGGTTGTCACACTTGGCAGCAAGTATCCTTACCTGCAGAGCCACCTTCCAGGCCCAGGGAACAAGACACGGCATTCCCACTACTGAGTCTACAGGGAAGCCCAAGACAGGAGTCTAGGCAGGGATCAAAGGGCTGCATTGTCAGGACACAGGAACAACTGTCTATAAGTGGCCCTGTGAGGCTATATGGGGCCTGGACCAGATACACTGAGATTAAGGCCCTTGCCAGGGAGTTCCAGCCTGGGAGAGTGGAGTCGGGATTGCCTGGTTAACAACAGTTTAATTTCTGAATTGAGGTTTGCCAGATTCTCACATACACCACCTCTGAGCACACAAAGAAGCTGGGAACCCAAAACCACAAGGACCTCTTTTCATCTCCAGCCTTGGCCTTCCTTCCATACCATCCTGCTAGCTGACAGACACTTATCATCAGTGGGAGGAGCGACTCTTTCCAGCTTTTCCACAAGCTTCGATCTCAGAGACAAATGAACTATAATTCCTTTATATGGGTTTACACTTTGCTGAAAGGGGTACTTAGCATGGGCTACGTTCTTTAAATAGCTCCCAAATGCCAGAAGGACACCCGCTGGGAGGCATCACTATTCAAAGCTGGGACACTGGCTTATGGTCCTATGAAGACCAGCTTTGGCTGGAGAATCAAAGCATTATTATCAGCTCATTATAATATCAAAGGTGAGCACAATAAAGGAGACAGTCCACCAGCTGCCTTGGGATCTCCAGGGGCAGCAGTGTCCTGAGTAGCCCAGGCCAGGCCAAAGGCTATGTAGGAGCTCCATGTGAAGGAGGAGCCTGGCTATGACAGGGTTAGGGACTACACATGCCATTTGCATGCTCTTCCAGGAATTTCTGTGGTCTGCACTCTTCTGGGCATCAGCAGTCAGTGTCTGTAGCTTGAACAAGCCCTCTCTACACAGAGCAAGGGGTAAACAAGCCCTTGGACAATCCCCACTGCATTAGCCCAGGCTGCAAAGACCTGACAAGATTTTCCTGCTGTTTTGCTCCCATTTCTGTTCAGCTGCTTCCTCTGAAGTGGTACTGAGGAGCAGTCCTGCCCAGTCATAGTGCTGATGCTCATGTGGAAGGGAAGCTACAGAGACGTGCTTTACAGGAAGGACAGACATAGGTGGGAGGGAAACACAAATGCATCTGGGAAAGGGAAATGGAATAATGATAATGGAGCACGGGGCAAATCTGGGTGAGCCCTGGGAAGCAGGAGGCTCAAGCTGCGGGTGGGAGGAGGTACAAGACACCCCCAGGCAGCAGAGTAAGGGGACAACACAGGACCTTCCTAGTTTGAAGTTCACAATAACAAAGTGAACAAAACAGGAGGGTTTTTATTTGGTTTGAAAAAAAAAAAAGAAAAGGTTAAAACTATTTCAAACCTTTACTAAACAGAACTAAGGAAGGGTGAGTTTTAAACTATTACATGAAGGAAATGGTAACCGGAAAGCTGCTTCCAGGGATAGAGCCTACCTTTGGGTGCCTGCTCCTCATCCTACATAAGCCTCAAATTCCCCATGGCATCTGCATTTCTCTTTCTGACATGCTGGTGGGTAGGACTCAGGCCAGGGCCTCTAGTCTGTCTTCCTGCCTCAGAGCCCATGTGAAGACCTTACGTTCCTAACTGTCTTCTCCAGGCTGGGTCCCCTGGGCTCCACTCACATCCGTGCAGTACGTCTGCACTCATCTGGCATGCCAGCTGTACTTCAGATCTGGGTTAGTGGTGCAGGAGACTGCCCAGGTTCGACCCCTAGATCTAAGCTTGCATTTAGTTTTCATTTGCAAATTATAAATGCTGCCTTGCACAGGACTCTCTGGCTGCAGGGCAGTGCAAATCCAAATCTTTTCAAGTCGAGCCAAAAATTTGCCCCGAATTAAGAGATTGCCGCCTATTTACAATACAAAACAAAGTAACTCCAGGAGGGCTTGGTGGTGGTATGAATAGATGCCATCGATTCTCTTTCTGACGGGGCAATTTTCAAAGCAGCGATTTCTGTAAAGACTCAGGAAGAAAACAATTTTGTTTCATTTCCATAACAGAATCCAGACCTCGGCTTCACCCCAGGATCTGTGATCAAATATGGTGCAGGTTTGGACAGGACAACTTTGGCCATGTGCTGGCCTAACACACAGTGGTGCAGTAGGACTCTAAGGGTCAGAAGATCAGATGGAAGACTTGGTCCCATTCTTCCATCCCAGAGGACAGGAGTACAGCAGAACCCCGGGGCCCCTTGAGGCAGGTTCAGCAGTGAGGCTAACTAAGGTGGAGTAGACACCTTGATGGTGTCCTTTGCCACTTGTGTGTCTCAGTCTGTTTCCCAAGTGACTAGTTATTCCTGTTACCTCATTATAGAAATGGCTATCACCACAAACCAGAGACTGTCTTGCAAATGTCACCTGATTCATGGGCATCCTACAGTGAAATTTGTCAGGAGTACAAGTTGGTGAATGGACAGAATCAACCCACTCTGCTCCAGGAAGCCTCTGTGGCCTGTGTGACTGGGGATGCAGACTCCACACAAGAGCTGGGGCCTAGTAGGGCTCCAGATGCACTGTTAGACAACCTTCTCCAGAGAAAGGTGCTTGAGTTTGGTGAAAAAAAAAAAAAAATGCTCCCGGCTCTCAGCTCCTTTGAAGCCCCACATGGCCCCGCCTGCCCCATAGTACTGTTTATGGAAAACACCTGGCAGCCATTACCCACTCGAGAGAGCAAGGCAATGATTTCTGTGACCACTGGGGCTCTGAGAACAAACAGGACATTATTTACACATTAAAGAAATACTTACCCCAACACCACCACAAGGCAGCCTGACAAACACGGAGGTCAGCGAGCCTGTGGGGAGAAGATGAGGGTCAGAAGATCGGGGGAGTCTGGCTCTGGAGGTGCCCAGCCCTTAGAGCATGCTGTGGATCCAGGATAAGATGGTTCTTAGAATCCCACTGGCTCCAGCACCAGGCAACAAGTGTAAGGACAGTGGCTCTGCCAGAGCCGGAGTGAGCAGCTTTCATGGTTACAGCCACAGGAGGTGGGGGTGGGCCTCCCAGGAGTTGGCTTAGTCCTGCACAATCCAGACATCATTCTGCCTAGAAGCTTGTTTATACCTGACAGCATTCCTACTAAAGCACAGAAGCACTTCCATTAAGTGTTGGCAGATCTAGGAGTTAGGGGAGGTTTACTATGTCTACATGTCTGACCGAAGTTCCAAGTATGGATCGGAGAAAACTAGCCCATTCCTGGCCTGCATCTCGGGGCCAATGAGCCACTATGGGCAATGTAGGAACAAGGCCATACCTGCATATTCCTTGCCACTACCAGTCCTCAAATTCATACTGAGGAAACAGCACTGATGTGACCTCTACTTCCTGCTATTTCTTGAAGGCTAGGACTCTTGGGTCCTATCTGGGCCAGCTTCTTACCATTCTTGCCCTTCTGCCTCAAATAGCTAGGCACCCACAGCCTAGCTTCATGGCTTGGTCCTTATTTGCATATACAAATATGGGAGGCAGAACAGGGGCATTAATGCATCTTTCCCCCAATGACAGGTGGGCAGCAAGCAAAACTGCTCTAAACTTTGCATACACAAAGTTCTTGCAGCAGAGGAAATCTTCAGGCGCACAAAAGGAGCTTCGCAGGGAAGCACTATGTCAAACATGTCTTAAATGGTGGCTATCCTTTCCAGAGATGATGAACACACAAGGAATGGGGACAGGGTAGGTAGGGAAGGTCTGGGCAAAAGGGGGGTGTAGATTACAACACCCAGGGGCCGAGAAATAATGCTAAAGAATGAAACTCCTAGGCTGCGAATGCTTCTGCTCCTCCTGCTTGCCTGACAGTCTGGCTGGGTGACAGTGACTGGGGGGGGGGACAGAGAACACCCCAGTTCTCTCTGGAGCCTTGAAACATGTCACCTAGTCCTATTGCCTGCTCTTTGTCTCAGTTGCTGCCTGCTGTGTTCTTACTCCTGAGATCCTTGTAATCTGGCGAGAAGCACTTTGCAGTTCTAGCACAAAATCTATCCCCACCCTTCCCTCCTCCTTGGCACTGCTGCTAGGACCAGGCAACACAACAGACCTGGTCCTCTCCTGCCAGCTGGCCTTTTGTCCCATTTTGGGAAGATTGCCTCCGCTTGTCTTCCAGCCTAGGAACTTTCTCCTTTGGTGATCATGCTTTGGATTTTCAACTCTCAACATCCTGCACTTCCTCCTTCACTACTACCTTCATAGTATCTTCCCTCTTCAAGGACACTAAGTATAGCATCGATCTCTAGCTGCCTGGAAAGCACTCTCCTGCCTGCTCCTGACCTGGTGTGGAGCCCACACAGGCAGTTTAGGAGGGGCAGTGGCTTTGTAAACGTGAGCCCAGCATCAGTTCTCAGAGCACTATTTGCGGGGACTCTTGCTGTTAGTGTCCTTTGGACTGGCCAGGCTATTGCAGGGGAGTGCCCTGTCTTCTGATTGAGGGTGAAGGTGAGCACACAAGGGGCCTATTAGGGGAGTGTGGGTAGGAGATGGACTTGGTACAGCTTAAGATTCCCCATTGTGATACCAGGACCTGAAGTCAGAATCCCAAGGCAGAGACCACCAACCCTTGCTCTGTCCTTATCTCTGCTGGCTGTAGTCCTGGATCACTGCATAGTCACTGTCTCTGGGCTGCTGAGTTCTGTGGGGTAAGCCAGGTAGACGATGTAGGATATACTAAAGGATTACATAGGGCCCCACAGTTTGTCAAATCCTACTTTTATTGGACAAAGACCCTGGTGATGATGGTGATGAAGCAGAATAGGTGTCTGCTAGACAGGACAAATCCATGGGGGTGGGGAGGAAGGAATGACTGGCAGAGCAACCAATGGCCTTAGTGTGGCCAAGCCTGGGACTCTTCATACCTCTTATCAGTCTTCCCCCCAGAGATCTTAGATAGGAACCACAAACAGGGCAAGACCTGGGCGCATCAGGTCTCAAACAATCCTGAGCAGCTTCCAGAATTGACTGGAGCACAAGGCTTCTCTGTACCCAAGGCCTTAGCAGAAGCCAATCTTCCTGTCCTGGCAAGACACACTGTGGCCCCAGTTGTAGGGGTCAAGGGTAGAAACATCACTTGCAGGAGATCAAACCTGGTAGGGATGTAAGGAAGGTCTCGAGTACCTAGAAGTTTCTTACTGTCCAGTTTCTGTCTGTTGAGAGGGTTTGTGCCGTAGAGGAGTGTGTGGGCCTCCGAGTGCACTGTCTGCAGCTCTTCCAATGTGGCCTTGCGTCCACGGATGCACTGTGGGGTCACACGGTAAGAACACAGGTGTTAGCTCAGCGTGGTTGGTGCTCCAGAGGGAGTGCAGTTCCATTATGAGGATGGGTATATGATTATCACATTATTGAAAGGTAGAGACAAAACAGTACCCGACTCAATAATTAAATATTTTAGGTGGCTTGCATTTGAATCTTAGCTTTGAAAAATATTTAAAAAGATAATTCTAGTTTTCAACATGTTATCCTTCACTATCACACAAATGGTCTCCAACAAATTATTACTTTGCTTTCTGAAACCAGGGTTTGGGCTTAAAACGGCAAGAAGTATCAGAGGTGGGGCAAGTTGACCAAGCTCATTCTCAGGGGGGACTCGAGTCACTACTTCTAATGTCCCCTCAATACCAGCTCTTTGTGGTCTTCCTTTGAGCATGGCTGACACACCTGAGTCTGTATTTGCATTGGGAGGTGACTAGGAGTCCTGTGCTCCTCTGCAGTTGGTAATCTCATCAAATCAACTCTTGAGCTACTTTCAGATCTCTACAAACTAGCAGATGAGTGCCTGCTCTTCAGCCGAGGTAACCACTCAACTAGCTGGCCAGTAGGTTCTGGAATAGATAAATATTTTATAGGGAAAGAGCTCCTTGGGGGGTCAGGCAAAGCAAAGTCCTCATCACTCAAGAAACTGTTGACAGGATCTGATCTCCCCTTCCTGGTCCAGTAGGTGCTGACCTATACAGTGAAGAAGAAATTAAACCAACACGGTGTGGCCCTGGTTCTGCCGGCTGGCAGGGGGGCTTGGGCCTACAGAGAAGACCTCTCTGGTTCAGAGCCAACACAGGGTGAGACCACCCACAGGCCCTCTAGTGTGTGCCTATCCAGAGTGAGGTACAGTCCAGGCTCCAGTTTCAGCGAGTCTTTGGGACGTCATGACATTACCTACTTGACTTCTGTGCTGGACATCAACTCTAATGACAAGGGCCTAGGACTCAGGCTACAAGCCAGACAATAGGGACCTGGCATGGATGTGTGCTTGCTCTCGTGTTGAATTAAGAGAATAGCTCCTTTGCACCACAAGGAGCTGCTGTGATAAGCTTTCCCATGTTTGGCTTAGGGTACTTAAACCTAGGGAGCTGGTCAGTGTTTTTACTGCAGTCAATGGTTCTTAGCCCCAGCCTGTCCTAGCCTACCTCTCCCGAGGCTCCTCCCAACTCTGCTCTGACCTCATAGCCTGCCATCTAAGAACCCTCTGCCACTGTCCCACCTCCACAAAGGCACAATGGAAGGTGAGGTGGAGGGCTGTCCTGCTCTCTCAGATATTTGTACTCTCATGCCTGCCTGGGTCTACTTGCTTTCTTGGCTGAGAATCTGCCTCGCAGTCCCTGCCTGAGTATACTTTCCTGGGAGGAGACAAGACATTAGTGAATGCTGGCAACTGAATGATGTCTACGGGTTCCGGGTAGCACTTGGATGGGCAGGTTGGAAGGCTAGATGGAGCAAGAGAGGAAAGAGATTTTTCTTAGGGCTTATATATACAGGCCAATGCTGCCCCCCAGTGGCACAGCATTCTGGATTCCCAAGGCAGGTGCCTGGGGTCTCTCCTCACCCTTCACTGTCTACCTCCCACCCAGAAGGCCATCAGGAGCAGGTGTGGGCTGATAGTAGGACATCCCCAAAAGTGAGGTACAATTTGAGTGTTAAGGGACATTGGGCCCATCTGAACCTTGGGATGATCTATACTCTGAGTACCCCAATGTGTAAGGGAGGGCAGGTGTGCTCACAGGGAGGAAACAAATGACAGCTGCTCCATGAGGCACTTGCTAGTGCTTTTGGGACTCCTGTGCCCTATCCTATGCTGATGTGCAGGACAACTGGAGGGCAAAACAGAGAGGGGCTTTTCTACTTGAAGAGAGGTATAGCAGGTTCCCCTGGCAGGTGCTGAGGCAATCTTGTGGGTGATGCCAGGCCTACTGCCTGAGACTACCAGCTCCCAGGAACAGAGCTCTGGTCCCTGTGTCTGCCTACACAAACCCACCCTTCTTCCTCAGCAGAGACTCTTGAGTGCACAGGACCTGGGACTGAACACCTGCTGGGTCACAAGAGGCTCAACATGATCTTGGCCAGAGCTCTAATGTATGTGACCAGCTCAGCTGTGGCCAAATGTAGGGTAAACACTGAACCCCACTGGCAGGTAGGCATGGAAGCTGGGGACATTGAGGACCAGTAGCCAGACAGACAACCTTACTAGAGCTACCCCACATAGCCCTGGACAGAGGGCCTAGCATAAAGGAACCAGAGGTAAAGCTAACTAGGCCAGTGGGTAGGAGAGAAAAGGTACTTTCCACTCTGCCTCATGGAACCCAACATCTGAGGAAGAAGGGCCGGAAGCTCTCCACATATCCTCAGAGAAGCTTTCTGAGGTCACATCTGAAGAACAGTCTTCATGAAGCTCATGTAGGTAGGCTGGCTTTCCCTTTAGGTACTGGATCCTTCTCCCACTGCCTAAGTAGGGAGGCACACACTGCTCAGCCACAAGAGCATGCTAGGAAGTAACTAGGAAGAGGGCAGGGACAGCCACGGGGAGGCAGCCTGGTATTGTGGGTTCCAGGAGCACAGCACAGTGCTTCTGTGGAAGATACAGAATCTTAGGGAAACAGTTTGGACACTGCCATGGGAAGCCCCCAAAGGCTTATGGGAAGGAAGCTACATGCCCAATATGGTAGTGCTCGCACTGCAAGAGGTGGGCCTGGCAGAAGGTGACTGGGAGACGGAGACTTCATCCTTACAAGTTATTATGGTTCAGGCCTATATGACTAAATTAGTTCTCAAATGTCACAGAGAAAGGCCAGATCACACAGCAGTCTCTTTTCTGCTTCTCTGTCAAGTTGTGGCTTAGTCAGGGGATTCTCACCAGATGCTGGTACCTTGGTTTGGACCTTCCAGCTACCAAAACTGTGAGGTGGTAAACAGACATCTTTGCTTTATTAAAATACAGGTTTTCTACCACAACATAAAAGGTACCAAGACAGGCTTCTCAGAAGCCCTCAGACAGCACGGACAGGGGTGAGGAGACACAGGCAATGTTTCCCGGACTCTCACCATCACTATAACGAGAAAACTGACTGTCAGACACCGTAAATAGAACAGGCTGGAGGCCATGTCCACGAGCAAACAAGGCAGAAGGTGTCTATCACCATAGAGAGGCTCCATACCTCACACTTGCCACGGAGGCCAGTCTCCTGCAGCCGGGACCAGATGCTCTGGATCCTCCCAGCATGCTCTGGGTGGCTGTTGGTGTTCCCACAGGTGCACTGGTGCTTCAACATCAGAGTATCATACACAAGGCCTGTAGTGGAGCAGAGCTCAAGTCAGCTGTGCCCAGGGCTGAGCCAGCCAATGCCAGAAGGTGGCCCTGGGACAGAGCTCCCAGGAGGGAACAGAGCAGAGTCGGTTCTTGGTACAAGTTCACCCTATCCCCTTTCCAAGCTAATACAGTAGGATTAAAACAGAGTGAGAGGCCCAGCATTGCCCAACACACCAGCCCAGAAAGACTGTGGCTGCACCACGAGAACAAGTTATGGATTAAAAGGTGACAAGGGGCCCGAGTGCCTCTGGGCTACTCTGAATTCAAGGCCTGTCTGCCTGGTCACTGACTAGGCTCTGCATTAAGCAGGTCTGTTGGGTAGGCACTGTCCAAGGTTACCACATGGTCCAGGCCAGCATGAGTTTTGTGGTTTGCCAAAAGATACCTTCCAGAGCAGTGGACACAGGGTAAGAGGCGGCATGTATGGGCTACCTCAAGGTGGACATAAGAACAAACGGGAGCTGGACCTCATGTGTGAGATGCACAAAGACGCCTATCTGAAGCGAACAAGTATGTGAGCACAGCTTAGAAGCTGCTGACCACAGAAGTGTGTCATCCATGAATGATTTCACAGAGCTGCAGACAGGAAGGTCTCTTCTGACCAGCCACAGATGGCACAGAGCACTGTTTATATGCAAGCTGCCACTAAGGTATGACAGCATTCCCCTATCTGAGCTGCATGCTTTTAAAGACATATTAATTTCAGCCAATGGTCAAGTGCTAATGGACAGAAAATTTGGTAGGTTTTGTGAGTTTTTTTTTTTTTTTTGGAGTAATTTTAATTTCTAGGTATTACTACTGAAACTTCTCCCTCAAAAGGAAGTTTCCTTCTAAGAACTTGGCTGTAGTTGCAGTGTTCTATAAGAAGACATTTTATAAGACCCGTGAAGGATAAAGCTATTCATTTTCTTCATTAGGAGGAAATGATAAATGAAAACACTGTGAAGAACCATCCTAGTTTTCCCGCTTGTCACTGTGGGGAACTATTGGAAGAGGTGATGTATGTGGCCATATTGTAGCGATAGCTTTCTATCTCTGCCTCTATGCTGCTGTGGTCCATACTTCTGCTGAGCTTGCTCCAGACATCTGGACCTTTTAGGCACAAGCTAAGGTGCCACCAAGACACTATTTCCAGCTTGCAGGGCAGGTGAGAGAGGTTCGGAGTTTGTTTGTGCTCCAGCATCTTTCCACTAACCACTGCCCCGGGTGTCACTGGGGCTCACGGCAACGCTGCAGTCCTAGGCTTGGTTTAGGGGAACACTTGCAGAAGATCAAGGCTGCTATTGCTGCTGGCTAAGAGTGGGAAGCTGGGAAGCTCCATGATGGCACCCAGGTGGAGAGAAAAGAGAAGGCCGATTTTTGAGCCTGTGGCCAGCCAGTCCCAGAATAAAATCATCATGGTGGTCATGACCAAGTGTGGTTCTCAGGCCTGGCATGGTGCTGGCAGCTCATCTCTGGACAGCGTGGCCTGGGTTCTTTCTTCCCAGATTCATCAGTGGCTTGCTCCACAGCCCCAGATTGCCACTGCTCCCTACCCCTACTACCAGCAAGAGGCTACAAGTTACCTGTGGTGAACCTTGGTTTGGTGGGGGGCTCCTGGACTGACATGGGGAAGGTGGCAGATGCTGGGGAGGATTGTGCCCGGGACAGAGGTCTGTGGCTGCCAAATGACACAGGGATGCCAGCAGCCTCCATAGATGCCTGGTAGTTCCTTAGCTGGTGGATCCTCTGCTGCTCCAACAGGAGAGCTTGCTGCAGGGCAGGAGAGAGGGCCATTAGTGACAGAAAATTTCCCACCAGCCTGTGATGCTTATTATATAGTCACCCTTAAAAACCGACAGGCCTCTCCACTGTGGGACAACTAACCATCATGCCTCCTAACTGTGAGCTCTGATCTGAGTGGAATCATAAAGGAGAAGGCACTAAGGCACTTAGCACACTGGCCCTGCTTAAAAGGATGAGGGATTTGCCATCTCAAAGGCCTACAGGGAGGAGTGGCGGCGGCGGTGGTGGGGGGTTTCTTGGGAAGAGCTCCCTAAAGAGATGGTGAATAGTGGTAGAGGACTGGTAACGGACAGGGGTCAGGCCCTCAGTGGGGAGAGCCACTCTGGCTATAGGGAAAATGGGACAGTGAATACACAGGTTCTTCTGGTAGTGAAAGAATGATTAATCGTGGGCCAAACTCAGCAAGACAGCAAAGACAGACACAAAAGGGCCAGCTCTAAACTGTCTGATGTGTTCCCGCCTTGGCCTCCAACCACACTAGCATTCTCGAACTAGGAAAGTCAGAACTGTGGGGGACATGAAGGGACATGTTACTAAGTGTTTAGGTGCCCAGGGGAGAGGACTGGGTTGGCAAGGATACACTGTGGGGGAGGAAGAATCTGACTGGGTACCCGTGAAATATGGGGTCATCACTCAGGTGATGTAGACCCTGATGGGGGCTCTGGGGATTGACTGAGGTACATGACCAATGGGAAGTGAACCAGTTGGGAGGAACGAGGCAGATGAGATCCCCAAGGTTGACCCACCCAGAGCTGCTCCTTGTGTAGTGAACAGAGGAAGCCACTTTCTAGGGCCCTGAGAAGCTGAAAAGGAAACCCTGCCATCCCATGCCATTGCTGCTTACTAAAAAGGAGGTCCAACTCCTTCCCATTCTCATAATCCTCACCAAGTCCTATTTGATGAACATTATCTTACGGCCTTGGAAAATGCCCACTCCTGAGAAGCAGGGCCCAGCCCTGGTGTGTGAACAGAGGAGGGAAACTTTATCTAGAAGTTTTAGTCTTCAGCAAACAGAAGGGAGCTGCAGACATTTGGGCCACAGTAGGGAGGCATAGTACCTCCTGTAGGAGGGCTGGAGAGACCTCATGCAGAAGCTGAAGGCCCAGAGCCTCCCCAGCTTGTATCAGGACCATCAAGCTGCTGACTCTCCCGAATTGATGTCTCCTCAGTGTGCTTTCACACACTACTCTGGTCCAAGGTCCCCACGCAGGAGTTTTACTGGTTCTCTGCAGTGCATGGGAGTACGGAATCCTAGGGACTGTCTCATGATTGGATCACCTAGTGTCTTCAAGACACCAGTCCTAAAAGCAGCTACTAAAATACTCTGACTTACATCTGTGTGGTAAAACATCACTGGGTTTCAACAAGGGCAAGTAAGTGTTTGTTTCCTCTGAGGGTCTACTCCAGACATGACAAACATGTTCCCATGTCCCTTTGGGTCCATCAACCTGGGGCAGTAGACAGCCCTGGCCACTAATTTTCCTGAGTGCCTGGCTCATAAGACCCAAGGCATTCATCACCCTTTTAATTCTACTAGACTTTAAATAGCAATGGTCATGTGATGGGGGCTAAGTATCCCCCAGAATCAAACAGGCCACCTTTTCTTGAGACAGAGGAAAGCATCACAGAGCTGGGTGCTGGGGACAGACTACAGGCCTATTCCCAATGCAGGTATTTATGAGCCACTCTCATGCTAGGACTACACTTCCTAGTTGTCTGAGGAACCATATGCGAATGGAAGTCAACAGGTGTCTGTTGGAGGAACCTTGCTGTTCTGGTATAACAAATGCTATGGAGAAGCAGCGGTGGTAGCCACATCTAGAGTGTCATGGGACTGAGGAGGGGCTTGGCTGGGACAATCCTGGCGTCCAGCAAACAGGGGCATATGCCTCAGAACAGTATTCAGGCATCAAGTACTGCTTCTTGGGAATACAACTAGAGCCTATGACTCTAGATACCCTGGCTTACCTGTCACCGCTGAGGTAAAAGTAGCTTCCCTGAGTGTTCTCTAGCTTCTAACCCAGGGGTTCTAATGCCCTGTCCAAATGTCCTTAGTCTTTCTAGATGCGTGCCAATTACCTTTCACTGAAAATGAACAGCCACTCACTGAGTGTCCTCAGTCTTTGGCAGTCTGCTACTGTGTACTGCGCCCCAGACTTCACCACCCTCTCTGGACCTGAAGGATGGTCACTTGAACAGCAGCACCCAAGTTCTAGGCTGACCAGACTCTGACTCTTGCTTTTGAGACACGGCCTCACTTTGTAGCCCTGACTGACCTGAACCAGGCTAGCCTTAAACTCATAGATATCTCTCCAGTCCTGGAACGAAAGGTATACACCACCGTACCCAGCTCCTTTTTGATTAACACTTCAATTCCCCCTGTTCCAACATTAGTGGTTAGCCTGAATCCCACCAACGCTTGCTTTTTTGTTACAATCTATTGCCTCCCGTAAGTGAGTTTCGTGTGGCCCCTATGTTCAAGAAGGTACATGAACACCTTCAGAGGATGGGTGCACAACCTGCATGTACATGAGGGTGTACCACAAACACAACCCACTGCCTGGGAAGGCAGGGAGATGGTCGAGTCCAGAACAGTGAGTGTCTGTGATTCAGAGGACAGAAGGAGGAGCTGATTGGCTGCCTGCTCTCCTCACTCCACACCTGTCTGAAGAGCAGCTCTTGCTCAGTCGCTGGCCGCTGGCTGGGGTCCGCCTCTCGAGTGGGCTCCACCTCTTCCTCCTCACTCTCTATGGGCTCCTGCTTCACCTGCACACCAGCTAAAGAGGGCTCCTTCTGCCCAGGGAGCCGGTCTAGGTAGGGCTCATCTAACAAGGCCTGGTGTTCACGGAGCTCCTCCTCCGTCTCCTCAGGGTGGCTCTCAGGCTGCCGGGGTGGCTCGCTGGGTTTGGAGATCATCTGCAATGCAGAGGACAGGAACGAAGTTAGGGCAGTCAAGGGACTAGAAGAAGCTCCTCCACACTCGACAGGACAGGTATGCTCTACCAAGAACTTGTACGACCCAGGGTCACAGGGCACTGGATGAGCTCTAAGGGACATAGTATGGTGGCAGTGACACTTGTCCTGTACCTTAAGCGTTCTGAGTATGCACATGCATACAATGGGATGGCTGGGTGAAGACCTAGACACATTAACTAGCATGGCAGGGATCATGTCCCATTGTACACATGCAGATCGGCATTCTGTAAATGGCCTCAATAAAGCTAAGTAAAGCTCACGTCACTTTACTGAGCTGTCAAGCCTTTCCCCAGATGATGGGAAAGACTTGGCAAGCAGGCTTCAACAAAAGCACAGTTAAGAATTTGCTCCACTTCACAGTTTGTGATGTGCTAATGCCACCTTACTCCTGTGTACCCCAAAACTCCCAACTCTGGCAGGTGACACCATTTTGGCAAGCAGCATGTCTTTCCTGCACACTGCTCTCCCCAGCACCAGGACCTCTAGAACAGGCTGGCACTGCACAGGGTGGCACAGGTGTAAAGGTGGCAACAGGGCTATGAATGCAGAGGCAGACCAGAGGGGATCAGGACATGGGAGAGGGCGCAACGTTCTCCACCCTTTGGTCCTGGGTGGAGAACAGCAGGGAGGTGAAGGTACTGGGCAGTGACTAGGGATAACTACCTTCAGGAAGAACTGAGTAGAGGCAGAGGTGGAAAGGTATGCCAGGAGCACAGATGCTCAAGCAGTTGGGGAGCAAGACCGGGGCCCTTTCTTCTCCTTCTGCAACCACCCCCTGGGCACGCACACATGTGTGCATGAGCATGCATGCCCCCTCACACACACACCACACATGGGAAGGAGGAAGGAGTAAAGAAGGGTGGAAAGCAGTATTGTCCCTGTATGGCTGGCACACCCAAGGTGACTGGGCCCTCAGGAACTCAGGTCACTGTAAAGGCTCAGCTCTAAATGGTTACAAGTGCCCAATGATAGCAGTCCAGGACGGACTGGAACCCAGGTACTTATTCCAGGGTGGCACTTGAAATTAAAACAACTGTTCAAAGTAGGGCATGACAGGTGGAGTGCACAGGAAGGGTGCAGGGTGTCTTCTGAAAGGAGAAGGCAGGGCAAGTGTGCAGTGCAGACAGGCTCCATTACTGGGTTTGTTCAACATTATCTTTATGCTTCAACAGTGAAGAAAAATGTTTGATGAGCATATGTAGCCCTTCACCTGAGCATCTATGGCCCAAAAGGGAAACAGACAGATAGCCTTTCCTCTGATACATCTATGTGAACAGCTGAGCCCAGTGGCCCCAAAATAATGGGTCTTTGTCCTATGGCCCCACAGTTGACTCCCTTTCTGTATTGGACATGTACTGTGTTCTGTTTGGGTCATAGCTCGTCAGTGTCCCTGTACTATCCAGGGTTCGGAGTACCCTGTTTCTCAGAGGTTACAGTTCCAGGGTTGCACTGGACAACACTGAGTTTTCCTAAAGGCTGGAGTCTGCTGAGTTAATCTAGGTAATACTGAAAGTGACACATAAGGTAAAGGAATGTCTCCCTCGATCCCTTGGACGAGGCTCCCGCTAGCGGACTGTTCATCTCAGTGCTGACTGTGTGAGGCTGAGGAGGGTGCCTCTGGGTGAGTGCTCACAGAAGCACATGTTTGTAGGGCTCTTCCATTTGCTATGCCCGATATGGGAAGTCCCCAGGCATATTGCTTTTGTTTTCTTGTCCTTTCACATGTCAAGTGGCCCCCACTGCCAGAAAGGGCTTCCCTGCTTCCTCTCCAAGTTGGGTACAGGTTGCTGACAATGTGGTGTCACAAAGGCAGGTCTGCAGCCTTGGCAGGGGCCAGGCATGCAGAAACTCTAGAGCAGGGAGCAGGGAGGCTCTCAAAGGGCCACAGCTTGGCTAGGCTTCCCTCCGGAGAGTGCCTTTGAGGGATGCTGCCATGGCAACAAGGGGCACTCAGAGCCCTGTCAGCGATGCAGAACAGGCCCACTGCCTGCAGTGGATGGGCCGCTCTGATCAGCACTGACGCAGGTGCTGGTGCAACTAGTCTTTGTGAGCCATAGTTACAAACAGGGGTGATCTCTCTCCCTCTTGGAGAGCTGGCTTGGGAAACAAACCTGGCCTCGGGCAATGTGACAAGAGAACAAGAGAAGTCAGGGGGAAGGAAGCTTGCAGACGTTATCAGTCCCTGCTGTCCAGAGTCCTCTTGGACATCAGTGCCCTGTTTTATTAAGAGATGAGAACATACATACTACCATATCCAGAACAGCAGGGTGAAAATAGAGTTCAGAGTCAGAACCTCACTGGCAAGCACAAGGTATTTAAAAACTATGGGATACTCTCACAAGTAGACTACCCAGGAGTCAAGTTCTCATATTCAAGAGAGAGTAAGACTCAGTGAGACCTGTACAAAGATCAAGTGATCTTGTAGACATAGCACAGCTGCAAGAATTGACTTCAACAATGGGGAAGAGACACCTCATTACCCCCTTTCCATGGAAAGAGGAAGGTACATGTGCGAGCACAACTTCCCACTTTTCAAAACAAGGCGGCAGCAAAAAGGGGAGCTTCCCTGCCAGGCTGGGCACTGACTCATCCCTTAGACAGCCTTCCTCCCCTGGAAGGTTTCTTCCTTTAGCATGCCTCTATGAAGCACATTAATGTGGGCACAGCACCCATGTCAGGAGCCAGTGCCCAGTCAGGCACCCTGGCTACCACTCCAATCCCCAGGAATCCAGAGGGAAGCTAGCTCAGCAGCCCTGTTTTGTCCCTTAGAAAATGGGAACAGGCACAAAAGACTGCTGAAAACACAATATTAGAATGGATAACTCCTCATGTCATATTTTCGGAGCACTGGTACTTTAAGGTGGTGGCTGGGACACAGTGGACAGTGGGCCCAGCTGTGGTCCCCACTGTGTCAAGCAGGGAGTGAATGGCCCTCAGGGAGCAAGCTTCTCATAAAGCAGGGCAGGAACACTGATGCCACATACCACAGAGAACATCACTGTCTTCCTGGGTGTTCCAGGAAAACATTGTATAAACATTTCAATCAACTGTCATTTGCTATCACAAATCAATCATGTAACAAACCCCAGTGAGATTACCCAGCTTCTGAAGTCACCTTCAAGAATATGTCACATGTGAATGGGTGTTTCCTGTCTTCAAACCTCCTACCACACCACTCAGGTAGTGACATAATGAAATTAATAAGCCTAGGCTGGCATTAGAGAGATAGATATGAAAGTGCTTTTGACACCTGGGAGTATACATACTTGGCAGGAGCCTGTCTTACCCCCGGCAAATGCCTTTCCTGTGTAAATGGCAGTATGTCTGGAGCCCCCAACTTCTGAGTGCCCGGCATAAGGCCGTGGACTATGGGACTTGGGACTGAGGAACCTGACAGTGTTGTGCTTGACTGGCAGGTGGGGTCTGGCTGAGCCTGTGCTGGGCATGTGATCTGCAGCAACTTCCTTGGAAACCAGCTTGATTCTGGATCTCTCAGCTCACAGCAGAGATCAAGGTGGGATGGGTTGGGACAGGAGCCACTTGTCATTCCTCTATCCTGGGAATATGTGGAATCAGGCCTCTGATTTACTGTGGGGCTCTAAAGACCCCTCTATACATGTCCCTCATCCCTGATCCTTTCCCATCTTCCACAGGGGACCCACAGAAGGCTTGGACCCTGATGGCAGGCAGAGGACCAGTGATGGGGTACCTTCATCTCAGTCCTTTCTCATTTTCAGTTTCCTGTGGTCAAATCAACATCTAAAAACATTAAATAAAAAATTCTCGAAACAAATAACTTCTAAGTTTTAAGCTGTATTATATCATGATGCATAGCATCACGACTCCGTCGTTGCATTAACCCACAAAGGATGGGCACCCTCCATCCTAATGCATACACACTGTATGGACAACTCTCCTAGTGTCAGTAGCCACTTTGACTCTCAGTTTGGCTGTTACTCACAGGGTTCTGTGCTTCCTACTTTTGACACTTACTGAGTATTCTGGAATGTATCTTACCCCAGATATTGAGAATAAATGTAATTTATAAGTCCTAAAATCCACACTTTTAAATTGAACAATGGAGTACTTTACAGAACTCTGTAGCTATCACTATAACCTAGCCTGGGGACATTTCCATTACCCCTAAACATACATAGGTGCTGTACCCCCTGTAGCTCTTGAGAACCACTAACTTAACTCATGTCTCTAAGGCAGCAGTTCTCATCCTGTGGGTAGTGACCCCTTTGGGAGTTGAATGACCTTTACACAGTGGTTGCACATCACATATTTGCATTACGATTCATAACAGTAGCAAAACTACAGTTATGGAGTAGCATGAAACAATGTTATGGCTTGGGGGTCACCACAACATGAGGAACTATGTTAAAGGGTCACAGCATTAGGAAGGTTGAGAACCACTGGTCTAAGGCTTTGCCTAACCCTGGGAGTGAAACATAGCAGGCCCATTCATGACTGGTTTACTTTCCTGCCTGCTTGGTTTACAGGTCTATGCATGCTGTAGGACAAGAGAGGTGTACTCTGTCATCTGTCACCACAGGATGTCACCTGGGGATTTTCCATCCACCATCTGGCTGCTATGAGCAGTACAGATAAAGTTTGTGGAGAGGTGTCTGCAAGACATTTCCATTCCTCTTGGAGGACAGCTGCTGGGCTGTTTGCAACACATTCATCCGAGTTGACACTGAAGCTACCTGACTGACACATATGATGGGAACATACTAAGCCCCTCCACTTCTCTACTTGCCAGAATCAGGGCACTAACGTTTCCTATGGCCTCAGCCTGTAGATGGAGCTGAGAGACTCTGGACAGTCTGTGAGTACACAGACCTTATAGGATGCCTGGTTTCAAGCTGCCTCTGATGGTATAGCTCCCACATTTAAGCAAATTCAGGTGCTAGGTGACTTGAAAAATAAAGGTTTGAGTGTCAGGTTAAGGTCTGCTTTAAGATTTACTTGGCAAACGGTTTTAGAAAATCCCTATGGGAACTGCCTATGTGGACTGCCCCACACAACAATGCAGAGGCTTCTTGCACGGCTGTGGCTCACTGCACTGTCACAGACAGATGGGCTCTGAGGAAAGAAGGCCGTGGATATATCTGCACAGCAGCCCCACGCAACAGCACGGTTCCCTAGGCTCCAGACCACACCCCAGAAACATGTGCTTTGAGTTCCTCCCTTCCCTGCTTTGGCCACTGAAGGTCAGCAGAGGGGCAAGACATGAGGCATCTGGCCCCGGGGCAGGTGGGCAGCCCCAGGGGGCAGCTGGGCAGACCCACCTTGCTGAGGTGCAGCTGTTGCTGCTGGAACTGTTGCTTGTGCTTCTCCAGGAACTGCTGGTGCTGCTGCTGGATCACCAGGTGCTGCAGGGCCTGTGCATTCTGCGGCAGGGGTGCTGACTGCGTGCGCCCCAGGGGGCGGTGCTGCCGCAGCTTGTGAATGGATGGGGACACCCTGTCCGCACCAACCAGGGACTGTGTGTGGAGGGGCAGCGCCCCCAGGCCTGAAAGATACCAGTCTGAAGATAATATGGAGGAAAAAAAAACAGCAGAGGGGAAGAGGGAGAAGAGAGGGGAGAGATGCTGTTGAGTAACCAGTGGAGAAAACCACATGCCTGCCAGCCCAGGGGCCTTCTATGAAAACATGGCTGTCTGCAAACAGGTCCAATTCCAGCTAGAGGATGTAAGCTTGCAGCCTGGGCTTCAGGGGGCAGAGTGTAATTTGAAAGCAAGGCCACCTGATGCAGGCTCTCCAAGAGCCCTGCCACAGGAGCACTCCAGAAGTGTGGCAACAGCCTAGCATCAACCTCCCACACCTCTCACAGGGGTTCCGGAGGATGGCTCTCCTAGCTCCCCCACACCCAATTACCAGAGAGCAGTTTGCAGCTGACCTGCTGAAACTCAGAGACAAACTGACAGTGAGACCCTGTCTCCATCACACACTCAGGCACGGTTAAGACCTTGAGCTTCAGTGGATTCACCACAGGAGGGTTATTCACTCTGTATCAAACAGAGTGGGATGGGAGAGGGAGGGAGGGTGGCACGTGGAAGGAAGCAAGTCTTCTCTAGGGGCATGAGAGTGGGGCTGCACCGAGAACAGGCAAGTTCAATCACAGAGCAGGGGCAGCGGCTGCAGGACAGTGGGCAGATGTGAGGTCAACTCAGTGGGAAGGACCTAGACAAGAATGTTGCTTCCATATACTTGTCTGGAAGTCTGCCCAGGAGGAGGACTGTGGTGAAATGAAGGCTGGTGTCTGTGCCCAGAGCCAGTGGGCATTGTCCTGAGATGAGCAGCTCTGGCCTCAGAAGTAGTGGGATGCTGTACTACTCTGGCTTGAATGCTCAAAGGCTTGGGCACTACACACAGTATCATCTGTCATTGCTCTAGACAATGGAGAACTTGAGCCTCTAAGGAGGCCCCTTTCCTCAAGAGAACAGAAGAAACCCAATGAGATGCATCAGGACCATGTGGAATGGAGGAGGCAAGGCTCTAGGAAGAGTGGGTGGAATGGCTTGGGGAAGAGAGGAAGGCTGAAGGTCAATCATAAACACAGGCCTGACATCCCAGTATTTAGGAGACTGAGGCAGGAGAGTCAAAGTTTGAGGCTAGCCTGGGCAACAAAGCAAGATTTAGTATCAAAACAGTAACAAAGGACAAAATAAGTAAACAGACAAACAAAACACAAAACCACTAATCCAACACAAAAGGAAAAGCCTCAACCAGGAGACCAACACCAACCAGGCTGTTGTGTGTCAGCTGCTGCCTATGGGAACTGACTCTTTCCAGGTCTCACTGATAGGTGGGAAGATGAAGCCCATAGTGAGCGATTTCCCCGGGAACAGACAGGAAGGGACCTGAGCATAATGAACAGCCTATGGTCACTGGGACACTGTTCTCCAGAGTTGTAGCAAGGGTGTCCACTATGTCTCAGAGGATTCCGGCGGCCAGAAATGCTGTTTCTGTCTAGATCACTGGCTCTGGAGAGCCAAATGCACACTGGAGATGAAAAGGCACAAGGCAGAATACAATAGCAAGAGCTACAGACTGACTCACACCAGCAGGTGAGGGTATTTCAAAACACCAGCCAGAGGCTGGCCCTGGGAACATAAGGATCATGTACAGGCCAGTTCTGAAGTTGCTCTGACCGTAATTCTGAGTGAAGCAAAAGCTGTGAGGAAGTCACCCACAGACCTAAGGATGACATACAGCTGGGCAAGGCCACAAATAGGTAGGGTTCTGTGTCATTTCTGAAACAGTGTCTTCATAGCTAAACTGCACAGGTTTCCTATCTTTCTCTAACTTGTATTTTTCTAAATGTAACCATCCTCAAGCAACAACAGAGTCAGGGGTGTGTCCAGGTCAATTCTGAATTTCATGCACTGGCTTCCTTGAGCTGCAGGGAAACCTGTCTGAGGGAGAGCAGGAGGCTAAACAGAGGGGCACTGGCATTGACTTCTACTCCTTGGTCAGCTTTCTAAGCAGGGCACAGATCCTTGTCAGAGCTGAGGTAGGTACCATATAACAGAGACCCACACAGTGACTACTGTTGTGTGGGCTCAGGTGGAGGCCAATGAGAGTGACCTTACTCCCAGAGACCTGGACGTGGCTCTTACCTGTGACAAGGGGTGTCTGGGTGGGTGCCTGCTCCAGCAGGACCATATGCTGCAGAAGGGGGTTGTGAGCTGCTCCACCATCCCGCTCCAAGGGCGAGGTGCTCAGGTACGGGGTGAGGTGGGTGCCAGGGAACAGGGAGATCCGCTGCTGGAGGGCTGGGAGAGCAAGCCTCTCAGTATCCTGCTGGCCTGCTGCACCCTGAAAGGTACAACCAGGATATTCTTCAGGCTGTGGGGACTGAGGCAGACAACCACCCTGTGACACTCAAACCCATGGAGAACAACTTACAGCAGCAGGGCCGGTGGCAGGGAGCCCCAAGGTGATGTTGGGTAAGGATGGAGATGTGTAGAGAGGGAGTGGGGCGACTGAGCCGTCTCGAGTCACGAGTCTGTGTGCCAAGCTCGTCTGTAGACAGAAGACACTGTGACTATCAGAGTCTGTCACATGCTTCAACATAAGCAGCAGCATATCCAGGACTGTGGGGCGGGAGTCACCTACAGTATAAAGTGCTGACAGGTATCTACCTGGTGCAAAAACAGGCTGCACAGACAGTGGCCCCCAGACAAGCATGTCACAGGCATAGAATCAGTGTTCATATCCCCGAGGTTTTTCCCCTCCAAATGAGCACTTGCCACCTTGTTTGTTTTGGTTCAATCTGCCTACTTACCATAAAACTATAGGTAGGAGACTTAGGACAATGCATTTAAAAAATATTTTTGTAGTTAAAAACTTTTTCTAAAAAAAAGTAGAAACCAAGGAGAAAGCTATTGATAAACAGGAAAAAATATTCTTATATAAGAGGTAGATAATGGTGACAACAGGACCTGCAATGTACAGGCAAGACAAAAGACTAAAAGAAAAAGAACTTGTCAATCAAAGACCAAGTAACATGAGAGCAGAACTCAATAAAGACAATGACAAAAGAACCCATATTAAGGGAAATGAAAGAAAATGCTCAACTTTATCAGAGACTGAAAAGTGTATTTACCAAGTCATCAAACTGGCAGGCTTTCTAAAAGCTCAGAAAAGCTGAAACACAAGGCCGTGGGACTATACACAGCAGAACTTTCTGTATACTGATTTTGCAACCTGTGTTTGGAAGCCTTAAAAGACAAGTTGTTCTTGATGGTGAGACTCCACTCAAGGATGCAGTGGTTAAGAAGCAGTCCTAAGGAAATGGCTCGCAAGCACAGAAGACAGCCATTACAACAGTCATATGATGGCAGCAGTATTTGGCGTCAGCCATGCCAATCAGAGGGATAGTTTACAACCTGGTATAAAATTAGTGCAGGAGCTACAATTAAGTTAGTTAATTAGTTAGGCTTAGGTTAGTTTTAGACCTAGTTGCAGAGTTTGGGCCGGGGGTAGAGTTACAATTTCATTTAGGGCCTGTGGTGTATGAACTAGGATTAAGTTTAGGGTGAGAGCTAGGGTTTGGGTTAGTATTCATGTCAGGTCTACAGTTATAGAAAGTGTTAGATTTAGGGTTGGGATAGGTTTAGTGTTAAAGTTAGAATTAGGGCTATGTTTAGAATTAAGGCCAGGGTTAGAGTCAATCAGTACTTGGGTTAGGTGTGGAGCTTTAGCTTACTGTTGGGTTAGGCTAACATTTTAGGTTTAGCATAGGGTTAAGGTTTTGGATACATTTAGGGTAAGTTAGGAATAGTGCTGGGGTGAACACAATGTTACATCTAGGATTGTAGTTAATGTTAGTTTTCTACTATTTCTGTCTGAGGTGGGGGTGGGACAGGTCTGGCTGTCTGAAGTACTCTAATATGTCCCTGACTACTCTTTCAGGTACATGGATAGGCCCTGCTCAGGAGAACAGTGTTTCATCTCCACCTCCCTACATGCTCGACACACCTCAATGCACACCAAATGGGCACACAAATGAGACTACAGGATGCTGGTTCCTTTGAGGCAGGTACATGTAGGCATTATGTGGTTTACCATGAAGAAACAATCTCATTATCTTTTAGTTCTTCTAGTGTACTATGTAATTAAGGCTAAGAAACATTCTTAGCACAACAAAATTTCATTCCCAGGACCAAAAAAAAAAAAAAAAAATATCTAAGTTGAAAGTTTTTGATAAACAATGGTTATGTGTCTGCATCCCTAGCCTGAAAACAATTCCTTCCTGCAAAGGGACACGTGGTCACTTTCCTAGGGTTCATGTCAGAGACTCTGACTTTCATGATGCCTTGTGGAGCCACCTGGGAGCTGTGCACTACACTGACTGCCTCAGGGCTGTGACAGGAGACAGGAAGGATAGCTGCCTTATATGTGCCACCTGGCCCAGAGCAAGGGCTCTGGCTCCCATGAGGTTTGCTAACAAAGTTCATGCTCACACAGCGTTAAGTAATCATCAAAGGGCTGTGTGTGTATGTGTGCATGAACTATGCATGCTTCAAAAGTAAAAGCACTTTTAGATCTCACTTCAGGAATGATGTTTTAGCTGTCATGGAAAGCAGGGCTGTACTTCAATGTAATAAGCTGAGAACAAATAAGCAGAACTTCTAATGTTTACAAAGGTATAATTTCTTTTAGCACTCAGGTGGTTGCTTAGCTGATTTGCTTGTGGAGCCTGGTTATGCTTACTTGCTCACACAAAACATGGGGTCTCCTGTCTTTAGGCAGAGCACATTGGGGGCTTGCAGGAAGAACCCCTCAGAACTCTGTCCACTACAGGATGGGCTTGTTAGCTTCCTGGGAATACTGTGGTTCCTTTGTGAGTCAGGGCCAGTGGTCAGAACCTGAGCACACCTTACAGGAGTTTGAACACGTGTGGTTTGTAATGAGAGGTGCATTAGATATCAACACTTCTGCAGAGAGGCCTTTGGGTCACAGCTGAGGTTCCCCATGAGAAGCCCTTTAGCCACAGGGCATCTAATTCTAATATCTGAAATTCAAAAGGGGTGTTCACATGTGTTCCAGCATTCAAACAACACCTCTGCCTGTGACAATGACAGCCTGATGAGAAACACTGGCAACCTTACTGTTTTGGGGGATTCTCTGTATGCTCTATTGACTGTGGTGGCCTAATTTACATATTTAGGCTTTATAAAGATCAACACATAACTTAAACCTGAGCAGTGGTGCTCCACCCAATTGAGGAGCTGGTACACTACCGTGATGCATCTAACTGGCCACATCACTTATGTACCTGGGCCCACACCTTACAAGAGAGAAGCAGAGTTAACATCCCAGGGCAAGATGCAGTTTCATGGTTGGGTTCTGAGGTTAATCACAGGAAGGTCTCTGCCATGATCTCAGTCCTACAGAAGGACTGTTAAAACTTCTAACAACACAAGAAAATACTGAATTAGAAGGCTAAAGGATACAAATGAGAGAAATATAAACCTCACTTCTTGCAGTGACCCTCATTTCTAACTTTCTAGACAAAATGGGTCTAGAAGCCTGAAATGAAAATGCTAAGCACTGTGCCTAGGAATCTCACCTGGGGCTATCAGCTCTTTGCAAGGGCAAGACTCACTCCTAATGTGAAGAAGGAAGTCAGTAACCACATTACTAATGACGGACTCCTGTAAGCTAAGCTAGGAGCTCCCAAGAAACTTCCCAGTCTCTACACTCACACAGCACACAGCAGCTCTGGCTCAATCCAAGAGGCTATTTTCAGAGTGTTGGACGCAACCCTGGCCTGCAGCAGCAGTGGAACAGTCTGAGTTCTCCCGTGTTTCCCCCACAGCCTGTCAGAGCCCGCCTTCTCACCCGCTGTCCCCACCTTCTCTGCTGCTGCATCCCAGGCCAGGCATGCGGGCCAGGCATGATTGTGGAGTGATGGAAACTATGTAGTAGGTGCAGGTGCAGGGTCCTAGAAAACCATCTTGGACCCTTCTTCTAGTTTTTGATCCTTCCTTTCTCCCACATTAGTGTCCACCAGTAATATCTGTTTTCCTAACACGGTTTTGCTGGCTATTATAAAATGTGTACTTCTCAAATATGTCTTTTATACTCCACAACCATTTTCACATGCCTGACGCTTGCACCATGTGCCTCAGCACAGTGTATATGACAACAGCTGCTCCTGTAACATACCTGGAGAAAGATCAAGGAAAAGGCAGGCCGGGCACTCTCAATATGATGGAAACTGCAGCCCTCATGTTTCAGGAAGATCATGATGAGGAGAATTGGGGAGTAATGCCTGGAAGGCCCCTCCCAGGTATCCCATGCTTTGGTCCTCACTGGATAGTCAGACACAAGGCAGATACCAGTGGGAATGCTTGCCCTATGTGAGTCTGTGATTGACCCACCTCAGCTGGAGCGCTGGGCACGGTGGGCGTGATGCCATTTTCAGTGCTGACGTTGCCAGAGCTGCTATTGGGAGAGCTGGGACCGGAGCCAGGGGCGCTGCTGCACGCAGAGTCTGTAGATGAGAGACAGAAGGTGGGGCTGGGCACTGGATAGACACAGAGGGCGCCACTGCTTCCTAGCCTGCTGTCAGGCAGAACAGGTCAGGATTTCAAAGCAGGGATGGTAACACAATTCCCTAGGTCTTGGCTTTGCCGCTGAACTCCCATGAGCCTCCCAAAGCTGACACACTGTGGATGCATGGCTGAGCCCTTCAGGATGTGCACAGTACCATTCCATAGCTCTTTTAAATTTCAAGATGGTTTGAGACATCAGAAAGGTAAGCCCTTAAACACTTATTAATATTCAGACAAAAGACCAGTGAACACAAAGGCCCAGTGGTTTTCTAACAGCGAAAGGTCAAATTCATTGTCTCTATAAAAAGAATTTCAAAGTAAACCAACCTACTGCGACTGTTCAGTTTACATGCAATATTCTTACTTTACGATGAACTACCTAGAGGCCAGGAAACAGGCAGTGGCTTCTGCAGCTCACCAATGTGGTCTGAAATCACACAGCAGCCTTAAGATATATCTGTATTTCTTGGACTTGACTCTGATCAGTCCACCAGCCACAACACTCTTCACACCATGGGCTGGCTGGGGCCATCTCCAACCAGTGTGGGTGGCTACTCTATGCTCAGGGGCATATACTGAGCTTCTGATATCTGGCTCAGGCATTTTGACAATGGTATCATCTGGTTAACACTTCTCAAAACACACATGAACTGCTTTCCTGAGCAGTCCAGGTATCTGTCCATTATCAACAGCACTCTCAGATCAGAATCTAGTATCAAACTTGGACACAGCAGGCCGCTGAAGGGGCTCAGAGACACCCTTCCTTAACAGAGCACAGCTACTCACTCACCCAGCTAACAGGGCACCTGCAGAGCAGATTCTGAAATCTGTCTATAGGTATAGTTCTGCAAGACAGAGGAGGGGAGAACTGGAGCAAACAGGCTCACAGCCCTCCATAGCTGGCAGGAGCCTAGCCTGAGTTATAAAGAGGGTACCCTTTCATGCCACTCACAAGAGGAAGATGTGCATAGTGACTTCACATGCTCTGGCATACTTAAGTCCTCACCTTAATTTTGGCAAATGGGGGAAAGCTTGGACCTCCATGGACTGTGTCATCCACCAGTAATTTGAGGCATTTTTTTTTTTTACCCTCTAGCAGCTGGGGACACCCTACCTCCACTCTAGAACCCTGTATCCAGTACTTGTGCTAAGAACCATGGCAGACACTGAATGTGAGCACAGGACTCAGTCCACCCTTTCTGTCCCACTCCTCCAAATGCCAACAAGTACACTTTGTGATTGTATTTCCCTGAATTTACCAGCTGGGACCAATAGCCTACCCGGACTGAAGAGGTGCTTGGGACCAATAGCCTACCTGGACTGAAGAGGTGCTATCATTTTATGTAACACATGTGCTTTGCTTGGTTTTCACCCTCTACCCTTGGCCTATGCTCCCTGCTGCTTTAGCCTGTCTCTGGCTCCAGCAGAACCAAGCAAGTCCTCCTAGAAACATACTCCTGGGGGGGTCTGTCACCTACATGCTGCAATGTAGGACAATAAAATGTGGGCATGCTTTATGATTTTCACTTTTAACAAACTGTTTTAGTGCTTTATTCATTCTGGTTCCAGGAATCTGGTCTATGGATATTCACACAAGGCAACAGTTATTAAGTAAGGGGTTGTACAGTACGAGGCCCGAGATCAGACTGGGTGAACACATGCACATACTGAGGAGCTCGTGAGGAAATGGGTTCAGTGTGAACCCTGATCCAGGCAGCACCAGTGTGTCTTCACATTCTGCAACCAGCATAGACTTCATTCCAGCCGGGAGGAGCAGTGTGTGAACCTGCTATGTCCCCTGGCCCATCTCATGGACCTCCATGCAGGACATAGGCCTCTCCTGCTCAAGGACCTCTGCTACTCCCTTGTTCTACTTGGAACAACCCTAGCTAGAGTCCCTTTCTGTCTGCTGTTTGAAAATAGCCTTTCCTGTTGCAGCTGCCCAGATGGCTTACAGACTCCTATCTAACATAGTTCAGCAATGGTTTGTACAGTCATGCTAACCTCCCAGGTCATCTCCCTTGGCTCACGTCTCACTTAGACAACAAGATCCCAGAGAGCAGGCACCTCTTCTCACTGTGTCCGACTGACTCCCAATGGGCATTAATTAGCAGGTGTGTGGCACTCAGAGCAGCCAGAGCCTAAGCACACGCAAGGACTGGGTCACACCAGCTGCTGGTGCAGCCAGGCTGCACACAACAGGAACACTTTCTACTCACATGCCCCTACAATTCCCAACTACATTTCCCAGTGAGGGACAGGTGAGTGTGGATTGTAATGCTTCTTGATCTTAGAGAAGACATTTCTAATAGTATGAACAGGGGACAGATAGCTGCATGAAGACCATGATCAAAATGCATTATTTATGTCTTAGTGCTTTTCTGTGCCTCTAAATAAGGTGATTATAATAGAATAAGCAGGGGACAGATAGCTGCAGGGAAAGGAAGACCATGACAAACAGGAGTTCCCAGGTATACAAGTATCATGATCTTCTTTGCACAGACCCAAGATCTACTGGTCAGTCCTGAAGTGAGGGCTTACACATAGCCCTCTGTCCTGAAGGTGAGTATATAAGACTTGTGTACTTGCTCTGAAGGATGGCAGCATAGAACCTCTTTTGTTTTCTCTGGGACATCAGTACATTCACTGAAACAAACTGGAACCAACTGGGCAGGTACTATTCACAGACCAACAACTAGAACCCTGGCCTTCAAACAGCATGTTCACAGTGAGAACTCCCTCCAGGTCAGTTCTGACAGCTTCCTTTTTCCTGGACACTAGTATTTTAGATTGATGGGGTGATCCCAGGTGAGGTGAGGACTTAACCTAGGAGAGAAGAGCTGGGAGGACCTTCCTGGGGTGGGGAGGGCTGTACCCTGCTGTTTGTCCACCAGCAGGTGGGGCCAGCACTAGTTTGTTCACTGAAGTATAACTAGCTGAGCTCCTTACTCTTCCTCTGCCCAGCTTGACATACTGGTGGGAAACAATCTGGAAGGCTCCAAGGCCCCATGATGCCTATGGGCAGTAGAAAACAGGCAGAAACATGCCATCACCACTGAAGAACAGGGCATTTTAAAACCCACCTTCAGAGAAGCTCTGGGTATAACCCTGAAATGCCAGGCCAGACAGTTCTCTCACTTGGGCCCAATGGCAGCTGTCTGGGGGGGGGGGGGGACTAAGCCAGAGAGCAGGACCTGACTAGCCATTCAAGTCCCCCACCTCTAGGTGGCCGGGCCTGGCATGTACCAGGGATACTGAACAGGATTGCATAAGGGAATTGTGTTGGGTTAAGACACATTTGTTAGAAGTGTCAGAGTGCAGGGTGTGTGTGTGTGTATGTGTTAGGATGGGGTAGGGTGGGTGGGGTCTTACCTGCTCCCTGACATACCTGTGACATCCAGGGGTCGCTTTTTTAGAGCAGTTGCCACAGGGCCATCTTTCCTGCGCAACAGGGGGCTGCTCCGTCTCTCAGCTACTTTCTGCTTAAGCCTTGACCGTAATTTCAGGTTGGGCTCAGAAGCTGTACAGAAGGAGATGTCGTTTTAGCCAGGCAGACACAGCTAGGGTCAAGGTCGTCACAACAGTGGTTTAAAAGATGCACAGCTGGTAAATTTCCACTTAAGTGCAGCATGGAAGCAGGGCTCTTCTGATAGTCAGCTCAGGCTCCCGTTAGCCCCGTTAGTGGGTGCAGTGCACTGGGAGACAGGGCAATATGTATGTGCTTCCATTCCACCCTGATGACATGAGCACAGTCTCACTGTCTGATTTATTGGGCATAGCAAGAAAGCACTGAAGTGTGACAATCACTCAATGAAGGTGTCCCTTAATATAATGGTCTCCTAAACAATTCTCCTGTGACTTTAAAGTAGAGCTGCTTTGAACCCGAGTGTGCTGACAGAGGCACCTTTCAGGCTGTCAACTGTGACATCATAGCAGCTTCCAAATCACTAGCTTTGTTGTTCACCCAAAGACACCTGCATCTCACAATCTGGGAACAAACACTAGCCAGATCCTGGTAGCCTCTGTGAAGGCCAACTGAAGCTGCAAAACTCGAGGGGTAGGACTGGCCGGACTGCTTCTCCACACTGAAGTACAGCTAAGACCGACATTCTTTGCTGACACTGGTTAAAAGGCACAGCTGAGGTTGGGACCTGGCTTGCTTTTTGTAAAAGCTGTGCAGACAAAGTTATCTAGGAACCTGAAACTGTGAGACCATGTTGGAACTCTGTCCCCTGCAGGGAAGTGCAGGCCCATTTCATCTCTATTCCTGGGGCGGCATAAGCCTGGAACTGCAGTGGTCTAGAGGGAAACTCAGTGGGAAACCCCGATGTGCAGGCACACTGGACTCTGCAGCCCTCAGCTCCCAGAGAAGTATAGCTTGGGAGAGCCAAGCTAGCCCACCTGCCAGTACCCCGTGTCTGTCCCATCAAGCATGGGCAACTTGTTGATATGTGAAGTTGTGAGATGTCACCTTAACCTCTCTGACTCCTGGGAGACATCCCCTATGGGGCAACACACACAGTCAGCCAGATCAGGACTCAGAGAGGACTGGGTTCTGAGGAGGAGGTCTGGGGAAACTCTAGCCTGAGTCACATAGGCAGCTGAAGCTTCTTTTGGAAAAGGCTGAGGCAAAGTGCAGATTGAAGATTGTTGAGGAGAGTGGAACTAAGCAGGTTTCCTAAACAAACTGCAGAGTTAAGATTGTTAGGAAGAGTGGAACTAAGGAGGTTTCTGGAACAGCTTCCCAGAGAGTGAAGGCAGGCTGGGTCTGACAGGTTCACAAAAAAGACAAGAAACGCACACTGACAAAAACTGCCACCATGCCACAGCCAATTTCCACACTGTAGGAAGGCCCTATGTAGTGTCGAGTGAATACTGACTGAGTCTGTGTTCTTAAATGTCCTGGTATACTCTTTATTCCATATACATTTTTTTTTTTTAAGAGAAAATGGATGAGGACAAGCACAAACTATAGGAAGGATTCTGTCAATTAGAGTATGTATCAGTGACCCAATCAAGTCCTTGTTACACCTTAGCCTTGTGAGTATGTTGAAAAGCACTGTCTGCGTCTTTAAAATGGCCTTACAGACCCAGCAAGGATAACTTAAAATTTTAATTTTTTCTACTTTTTTTTTATGTGAATAGGTGTTTTCCCTTCATATGTTAGTATATACACATGCACACAGTGTCTCCTGAGGTCAGAAGAGGGTGTCAGATTCCCCTGGGACTGGAGTTACAGATAGTTGTGAGCTGACATATGGGTGCTGGAAAGCGAACCTGAAAGATCAGCCACTAATCTTAAGCACCTAGCCATTTGTCCATCCTTGAAGGTAATTCTTTAGGGTACCCAGAAGCAGTGGGAAGGGACCAGGCTCCACCTCATCTGAGACCACAGGCACAATTCTGACGGAAGGGGGACTCTGCAGTAGAGACATCTCTGCTGTCAATAATACAGAAAGAACAAGGCCTCAATCAGGAAGCTAGAGCTGGGCTACGGGAGAAGACTGACAATGGAGCCTATATTTGGAAAACTAACTAGTTCTGAGCTCCTCGAAGCAGGTGAAGGTGAGGGCAGCAGGGCCTGGGATATCAAGGGACTTGATACTCAGCAGGTGCACACAGATGCCATAGGCCTGGTCTACTGAACTGGGTTATTTCCACGTGGCCCTCTGCTGACAAGTCACAGGATGGAAGGAGTCCAGACCATCTAAGAGCTGGGGGAAGTGGAGCAAAGTCTTCCTCTAGGTCTGCCTTGACTCACTCAACTGCTTCTCAGAGCAACTGCAGGGTAAGGGAGGAAGAGTGTCCTCTAAGCCACTAACATGTGAAGCAGCTGGGGATGGACTCAGAGAAAGCTCAGACAAGCTGCATGCTATTTTCATGAGAGAAGGAAGAAAGACAAAGCGTATGAGTGAGCAGCCATCCCAGGAAGCCCACCAAGGCCTGTGCAAATATGCCTGGAGTACAGAAGAAAGCAGCACAAGATTGCTATGGGTTTATTTCACTTTGTATAAAGATTAAAATCCTTTAAGGACTGAGATAGGAAAACTCTATGAAAGCCAACACAAATTAGTATAAAGTCGGAGCCAGGGACTATTCAGATAGTTATTTTAGCCTATCGTTTGTAACTTGATCATGGTACGTCATGCAGGAAACCTTACTCACTGTGTCTTTTGTATCATCACTTCATCAGAAACACACAGAAGTGTGCTTAGCATTGACAACATCAAGGGATGGAAGCAGCCATATTCAGTGTTCTGCAGGCCACTTCCCTGAATACCATAGGAAATTAAATGCTTTCTCTTGAATCCTTATTATTAATATTATTCATGAGCTGATGGTGCCTCTTAAAATTTGGAATGTAACCAAACCTTAATTAAGGTTTTCTGGAGCCTCTCCAGAGTGTGAAAGTATTCTTTTCTCTATTCTCAGGGTGTGGGGTCTGTAGGTGGGCTATATGACAAGGCTAGAAGTCAACAAATCAGTGACTTGTCTTCCAACAGTCCCCAGAGAAATGCAACCTAACACAGGGAACAACGTGGATAGACTGAGTCTCCTGGAGAAGCCTTAGAGGCCCGTGGACAACCACAGAGGGCCATGTGGCTGTGGTGACCAGCAGTGGTTAGGGGGGGTCTAAGTGTCCTGTCTCCTGTTTTGACAATAGCTCAGGGTGGATGCTACCAATTACTGGCAGGCCCCTGAGCCTAGGAGCCCACACCACCGTCTGTAGGAAAGGAACAATAGCTTGCAGTTATGCTGCTTTAGAACTCTAGGCCAGACAGGACAGTAGATGCACTGTCTCTTCAGTTGACTTCTGGAGGAAGTTGTCTCATGGATGTGTTCAGGATGTTCTATCCTTTGGTGGGAGCTAACTACTCTGCACTTAGGCTGTGTCTTCATCTTTCTATAGCAAGACCTTATCCACCAGAAATGTAACAAACCTGACATGGCCATTCCATCTCACACACTTCAAGTCCTATTTAGGCCGAGCTAAAATGCCCCTCCATTCAATGGCCAGCCTCTGGTTTCTGTTTGTTCAAAGTCATGGCAAATCACACCTGGCAGCCCAGTGTCCTCTGAAACTTCCTAGTCTAGGAAGGTGTAAAAGGTGAGCCTGTTTGTCTCTGAGGTGCCTTGTGAAGTAGTCACTGCACAGGGCTCTAGTGCAGCCTTGCTTAGAGCTTAGAGTGAACAGAAACTTGGGATTTCACTGACTTTTTTAGTAAAAGCTCATTTCTGAGGACGCCCAAGAGCCCCCTGCACTATCATGCAGGTTGAGACTGCACCTCCACTACATAGGCTGAAGCTATGCAGCTCCACACCCTCTGAAGCAGTTTCCAGAAAGCCCACCTTTCTTGCCATCTCAGTGCACTGTCCACAGCCTCTTCAGCCCTGCTCCAAAGTCTCCGTCCTCTACAACCATTATTCAAGAAAACCAAGGCTGTCCAGGCTTGTCTTGTGTTCTAGCACACTCCTCTTGTTTTCATAACAGTCTAGTCCATAAGACAGCTGATGCACAAAGCTGCAGGCCAGCAGGGGTGTCCCTGCAGGACCGAGCACGTCTTCCTCATGAGGACTTGCCTTCACTCTAGGCACCTTGATCATCCCTGTCTGGGTGCTACCCAAAGGCTGTATAGAGGCTTACACACTCGCCGTCTTGGCCAGCACATCCATAGGAGCTATCTTAGTCCTTGAACTACCTTACTGTTCTGTACTGCAGAGCAGAGCACATTCCCAAGAGGGGATTACCCAAGGTGTTCTGGGGATGAAGCCAAGCTCTACAGTGCAGGAGGATATGTATGTGGCTTATTGCTTTTGGGTTAAAACACGCAGGGAAGCTTAGGGTCATTTTAAAGAGTGTCTGAATGCAAAAGCCAGTTTCCTAAACTAGCATAAGATATCAAAGTACTACCGTGGTTCAACAGAAACCCTGAACTGCCATCAGGATGGGGGAAACCCAGGCAGCAGACTGCACACTGACCTGTTTTCCTAAGAGGGAAGTCATCTTTGGCATCGTACATTCCCAAGACTGGGTGGTTGTAGGAGGCTGATACCCCACTCTGGGGTGGAGAGCTCTGGTCAAGGGAGCTGTGCTGTGTCTTCCTGGAAAGAGGCAAAGACAGATATCAGCGTGTCCAGGCATCCCAAGCCTCAGGATACCAAATTCTGAAGCATGACCTTTTGTTAGCCCCTCTTCTCCAGGTGTGAGGTGGGAGTAAACTAAAACAAACAAGCTACAGTGCCCACAGCCCGTCGGTGTGCCCTAAGGCCCAGCCCTGTCCTCTGGGATTCTGAAGCCCTCAGAGGGCTTGTCTTCAGGGTGTAAGCAGTGGAAGATCAGTGGGCCCAGACAGGAGATGTTACGTTACAGGAAAGGCTGTAGGCAGGGAGATGGGGTCAGCATGGACTCCTAGCAGATGGTGGTAATGCCCACATCTGCCTGTCCCTCAAGCACGGGGCCCCTTGAGGATTTTTCTTTTGCAGAATATGTCCATCATGCATGTCCACTCAACAAATCCCCTGGCCATCTCCTTTTTGGGACAGTTCACCAGTAGACCTCTAGTAACCCTGGGAGTTACTAGAGGAAGTGAACTTCTAATGGCCACGCAAAACTCCAAGTCCTAAAAATGGTCAGATGGGAAAGATTGCAAGTGGATGGACGCTCAGAGCAGGGAGGAGGAGGCAACAGCAGGAATTGGGCTGCAGGCCACCTCAGATGACCTATAGCCAGGCCTTCCTCTGAACTCTGAGAGCATGAAACGTTCTGTGGTCTTGAAGGCATCTGCTCAAAGACTCAAAACACATTTGCCCATTTTCTAGTTTAGACTTTGGCAAATGATTTATTTGAATACACAGCATCCACACATCTGGAGTTATGTGAACCTAGAGTGGGAGATCTCAGACATGCACAAGTGTATATTCAAATATTTGAAAGCATATAATGCAAAGTATGGACTGAAGGGATTCTCAGACAAATCTAAGAGGGCAGCCACGAAGACTTCTTCAATGAAAGTTACAATAGGGTCCTTGGCATCCCTTTTCTCTTCCCTACAAACACAAATGGAGTGTGCATGTGCGTGTGTGAGTGTGTTCATGTATGTGGGTTAAAAAAGATAGGAAAACAATTTAAATATGGTAATTAAAAGAAATACAATAAACATAGCATTGTTATGTTTCATGACAGGGGTTCTTCCTACTGAAGAACAGTTGGAAAGCTGGTCACTCCAGATCTAGTAGATCTCTCCTTATTAGCTCATCTCTCAAGACGCTATCACTATTAATACTCCCTTTCCTGGCCAGCCCGTAAGTGAGCTGAAACAAGAGGCTGCCGTGGATCACCTGCCTTGAGCCAGGCCCACAGTTCTCACTGCTACCTACTGCCTTGTCCTCTAGGAGCACCTCAGGAACTGCTGCTGCTGTGCTGGACAGCCAGTGGGACCTTTGTGGGAGTCCAGAGATTACAGAAGCAGACCTTCATGCCCCCATAACCAGCTCACTTATAAGGAGCAGCCCCTTACCCATGGTTCTTGGCATTTCTCCCTCTGCACGCCAGGAACAAGCTTCCACTTGGGAAGAAATGCCAGCAGATAGCCTTTGTGTGGCCTCCAAATGCCAGGCCAACTCACCTCATCCTGGAATAAATTCACTGAGGAAGGATCCTATCCCTGACTAAGTTTGTACCCCCTAATTCCTACACCCCATGCCCTATCACTGACACCTATTTACACACCCACCATGTAAGTTTATAACTTCATACTCAACCCCCTCTACAGACTCACATACCCTTGTATCTCAAAGGTTAGGACCACAGAACAGCTTCTGCCTCTCCTTGACTTCTAGCCTAGGGTTGGCAGGAAGATGATGGTTCACTGAGCAGGCCTTTTTAAAGAGGAAGTCTTTGGAGCTAGGGGATGTACCTCAGTGAAAAAGTACCTGCCTAGCATGTGTGAGGACTGGGGTTCAATTCCCAGCAGCATCCCCAGCACCACCACAAACAATAAATAGAAAAATAGAAATAAAGGCAGTTCTCATATTACTGTAGATAGGGAAACAAATAATTGCTGTTTTCTTCGTAAATGCCACCTTGAATATGGAATACAACAACACAAAATCAAGCATTTAAATTCTAACAACTGGCCTTTCCCATTACATCAGATTTATACCAGTGATTTAAAATAAATAAATCTCTTTAATCAAGTGTTAACATCAGAGTCCAACAGAAATGTGTGAGCTATACATGTAATTTACATTTTCTAGTAGCTACATAAAAATGAGAAAAAGAAATGGGTGAAATTAACTTTAGTATTCTACTTAACCTGAGATATAAAAATAATATTTCAACATATAATTAACATGAAGCTTATTCATGTGGTCTGGATTTTCTGCAAGTCTCAATTTCAAAGCCTGGGAGCTAATGCATGGATGGCCACATTGCATTGTGCAGGCTCAGAAGGAGAAGTTGTAAGGCTCAAATTGTGGATGCTCTCTGCCCTACAAGTATTATCACCACCAATCAGGCTTTGAACAGTTCCAATCTCAGACTGCCCCCTTTGTCCCTTTGCTGGTGATTCTCCAGCTTTGTTTTGCTGAGTCCAGTTTCACATGACTAGAGTGGGGAGGGGTGGCTATGTATGTGTCTGCCCTGCCTAAGGCCACCGTGTGTAAGGTCTCCTTCCTGCTGCACAACTGCAGTACATGGTGACCCAACCTATTAGTCCTCTCAGTGCTATGGGCTTGTGGGTCGTTTCTGTTTCACCTGCTAAAACCACAAAGATTAAGCCTGGGTGTGTACTTGCATTCCTGGTTAAATACTAGAAAGCACACTGCTGGGTGGTAATAGCATTCTAAGATCTGTTAAACCATTTGCAATGGACCTTACCATTTAATTTCCCCCAAGCCAACTGTGCAGGAATAGCCACCCTGATGTTGCCACCCCTAGTCTGTTAAAGTTTAGCTAGCCCTGTAGGTGAGAAGTGGCATCTCACTGGGATGGTAATCCACACGGCTTATTTTGTGGCATACCGGTTCACATCTTTGCCACACGTGTGTTAAGTTGCAGTAGCTTCACAAGCAATTTGCAGATGCACACTGAAGATGTCCTTCTCTTCAATTGCTCTCTTTTTTCTTGATAGGTGCCTTTCAAAGTGCTATTTTAAATGTTGATGGTGTCTGACTGTTTTTAGTAATGGGCTCACAACTCATGACACTGATGAAGAGACTTCACCAGTTGTTAAGGGTAATTTCACTGCTGGAAAGAAACCCCTCCCCTCATGTTTCCTTCTAGAGGTTTTGTTGGCCTAGCTCTCATGCTCAGACCTCACTGGCTTTTAGCTGCTACTGGCAATCAGCACATGGTGTGTGAAGCTAGGTAGTGGCTTGACTCTTTCTCTTGTCTTGCAATGGGTCAGCTACTGCACACAAGTGTTCCTTCCATGATGGTTGATTAGGATCCTTATGTGTTCATCAAACTCAATAAAATCAAGCTGGTTTCCTGGACGGTGTATCTAATATCAAGTGGTGCCCTTTCTAACCTGCTTGCTCCCAAACTGTTTCAGGGAAGGGAGTCTTGTGCAGGTTGGGACTCTTGGAGCATCCTGCTCAGGAAAAAGTTCTGGGAAAAGGCCTCCCATTCTCCCCTCCCCTCTAGGTATTATTCCTTTAATCTCTCAGCATGTACCCAATTCCCTTCCTCATAATGTCTCACCTGTAGCAGGCTACCTGCTTGCTGAATTCTCCTCCCAGCCACAGCCCCGTTCCTGTCATCCTTTCTCCTCATCCCTTTCTGTTTCAGCTCTCCCATCTGTCTATACAACTGTGACTGACCTTCTGGAGCCGTGACTCAACTCACAAATCCCACTTGCTGTAAAGAAAGGTGTCTCTTTGTAACAGCAACCCACAATGACATCCATAGGCCCTAAGTTGGACTGCTCCATCTTTTTGTGGACCCTAGCATCCACCTCCAAATCACCATCCCAACTGCTATTCTTGGCTGCATCTCCCTAACCATCCTTACACCTACGCGTAAATGTAGGGCAATGGGCTGCTACATGGCAGAAGCCAAGGCTTCTGACCTCTCCAACAGAGGCTGCAGACCGCACAGACTAATGCTCTCTAGCTTCTCAAATTGCCTTTCTCAAGGGCCCTCCTGCCCATGACCACTCATCACTCCTCCTCATGGGCTACCTGCCTCACCTTCTTCTGAGCTCCACAAAGACCAGTAGTCTACTTTAGTAGATTTGTAGTGTATGGAGCCACAGAGTATGCTAGGGACAATGAAGAGCCTCACTGTACAAATGTTAATCCCCAGGTCGTGTCATCCACACAAATAAAAGGGACACTTCAGTGTGACCAGTGGGGTTTTAGTAGAAACAGATGTTCATTTTCAAACTAGAAAGCTGTTTTTTCCCCTCAAATGAAATTAATGACTTCGTTCTGATTTAGGAAAACTATCCTATTGCTTCTTTCTAGCAATGAAATGACCCTTAAGGGCAACATAACATAATTTCAAATTAGCCATGTGCTTTGTGTGAGACCCAGCCAAGTCTCCTCAGTGGGCTCTATTCTGCACCACAAATGGCCCATGCTGGCGGGGCTTCCACAAACCGTTTTCACCCCGACAAGTTAGCTGCTTTTCTCTCTTGGGATGGCCAAGGTCCTGCTTTGGTCTGCCCGCTATGCATGTTCTGGCCCAGGTTCATAACTCTTCCCAGTTCTCCCCAACTCTCCCAAGGACCCAGTAACTAGATTGTAAAGATGTCAGGCCCAGAGGGAACTCCAATTCCCCCAAAAGGCAGTGTATATGTTCCAAAATGACAGTATAGGCTCAGCCCAAGCTGGACTATATAGAAGGATTGCTAAAAGTCTACAATCATCATTCCACAGAAACCTGTGAAAAGGGTTTCTGTTACTTCCGTTATCTCCCCTTGACTCTGGCAAAAGGGACTTGGGCTGTCCATTGGCATATACCTGTTGTTGCATATCAAAGCCCATGCTGGCTTCCATACTCCTTCAGTCTCTACTCATACTTGCTATGCATCTCAAGTCCACACTAGCCTCCTGGACCTTCTCACCTTCCCCATTCCTCCTCCTCTACATAATGCAACATTTCATCCCTCTCCACTTCATTCTTGCTCCTCTTGATGATAACCCTGTCCAGTCTGCCTCTTTTTCTCTTTACTCTGGATAATTCCAGATGTCTCTAACCACCCCCTCAAAAAAAAAAAAAAAAAAAAAAAAAAAAAAACATCCCTTAACCACGGATCATCAGTTTCTGTGGATTCTTTACTGTGCTGATGCCAAAGTGCTTATAAACTCTGACTGAGTATGATACTAAAATTGAGTAAGCAAGAGTAGAAAATTAGGAAAGAAGTCCTCTGCAAGTGGCTCCTATGGTGTTTAGGAAAGGCAACTGGCTACTGCCCGGAATGCTGTTTGGTACCCTGAAGATATCCACCTCTCATCTGGCCAACAGTGACACACACTGTCCCCAGAGCTCCTCCCTTCAGATCTGGTTATAGAGCTTTTGGCGGGGGTGCGGGGGTGTGGTGGTGGTGGTCAGCATCTCTACCACCCCTACATTACAAGGTCTTTGAAAAACTGGGTCCACTCAAACCTGTCCAAAGTGCTGAGTGAGTATGTCGTGCACCCAAGAGCAGGCTCAGGTCACTTACCCATACCAGTAGCGGGGATCGCTGGAAATGCAGTGGTTCAGGTTCCGGTGGGCCAGCGCCTTCTTCTTGTTGAGAACAAACTCCTGCAGCTTCATCTTCACCTCGGTGCTTGCTACGGCACCTGGGAGGAATATCAGAGAGAAGAGGAGGGGGGGAGTGTGTGCAGCAGGGAATGCAAGGTACAAAGGGTACACATGGGAAGCGGGGATGGGGTCTCCCTCTGCAGAGCTCTCTCAAGGCCAGGGAGCTTGAAGGGGAGGTCTTCTATCCAAATACTGCATGTCTGCACCCTACTGAAACATAGACTTCAGCATGGGAAAGGCTGCTGTTAGCTAACACAACTGATTTCTACAGGGAGTTTTTACATCCTTGCATTTAAATTTCAGTGTCAAATGTTGGAAGCATGGTGGCTCTACTCTTTCTACTGAACAAGTAGCAAATCTAAAATAGAGTTCCATGCAAACCAAATTTCCTATACAGCTGCCCAGGGGGACAAGGCCTGTTCTACTGGCAAGCCAGTAGCCAGTGTCCTACATACACTACAGTGATGGCTTTCTTAGCAACTAGTGCACCTCTGGCCCCCTGCCTGGTGTTACCCAGTCTTTTGGAAGGAAGATATTTCAATTCACTCAGGTGGAAATTGTGTACCCCAGGGCTTTCTTGTGACATGGTAATTGTTGCTGTAAGCTGTGTTAGAACACAAGATCCCAAAAATGGACAACATGAGGATTTCCCAACCTGCCACACACAGGCTGTGTTCCACAGATCTACTGTCCAATACCTCAGTACTGTGTCCACTCATCTTTCTGCTGAAGAATATGCTAAAGGTTCCTTTGAATACTATCACTCATTATTCAGACACCATCTTGGATGGTCCCTAATACCTCATGCAGCACATAGGACCAGTAGAGTGATCCTAGCACACAAACAGCCTCAAGATATTTTGCCAACACATTTTTTTTCACAATGTCTCTGCACATTGATAGCCTGCTTTTTCCACCAGGCATCAGGGGTTCACACCCTCTTCTCAGAGCTCAGGGTTAACTTCCTGCATGCAGACATTCCAGTGGTACCCTGAGGAGTTCTGGACAGCTGTGGGACCTACATTTACTATACTGCCTTGGCTTGACTTTATCACCTGGCTCAGTCCTTCCGGGGAGTTGGTGGGTGGGTGGGTGGGTGTGTGTGTGTGTGTGTGTGTGTGTGTGTGTGTGTGTGTGTGTTGAGCTATATGGCTGCTTTTGGAATTTACTGAGAGTCTAGACATTAGATTGTAGAAGAAAGGCTATAAGCGGGTATTCTCAGGCCAGGGGTCAGGTGAAGGTCTGGAGAGGTGAAGAGCACACATCCACCCTGCTCTCATTTCCTCTCAAAATCTGGACTGTCTGATGCCCCACACTACTTTTTATAAAGTCTGTTTTTCTTTGTCACAGAATGCCACACACTCCATATTTATTTATTTATTTATTTGTTTATTTATTTATTTGTTTATTTATTAATTAAAGCTCTGCCACTGATTTTTCTTCCAAAGGTTGGATAATCACTGGGCACTGAGGCTCTCGTCTGGCACTAGCAAACCCTCGGGTTCAATTCCAAGACCATCAACCAAAAAGGTAACCCTTTCAGCAAGCCTCTTGTTCTGACCCTGGGTTTGTTAGTGCCATTTTCCCGTTTTACCCTGCATGCTCTAGAGCCATTTCAGTGCAGGAACTGGAAGTGGTTACTATCAGAAAGTATCTCCTTCTCACCTTCAACACATGCCCAGGGCAGAGTTACTGCTGGTTACACACCCTCTGCTCCCACAAAGCAGTCCAACTGCCCAGGCTGACGTACTGTTCTACAAACCTGGAAGGTGGGAGATCTACAGACCCTATGACAGGCCACCATACTTCAATGCTAGTCACTTGCACTAGATTCCAACTGTCTGTCAACACATGGACTTGGAAAGATCCTGTGTTTGTGGAAATGTTTGCTCTACACGTGACACTCCTAGATACTCCTGAAAGCAACAGGTTAACATGGAACAGAAACACAAGCAACAGAAACCAAGAAAAGGATAATGCTTGCAAACGCACCAAGAATCTTTACAATCAACAATAAAGGAAATGCCCTGTGGTGTGGGGCAGAGAGCAAGTCCACAGAAGAGCTACTTGACAAGAGAAATGCAAGCCCAGATGGAAAGCAAACTTAACACCACTGCTAAACATACGAAAAGCGAAATTAGCATTTTCTCCACTACAATGACGAAAGTATCAGGGTTTTGTTTGTTGTTTTAATAGTTTGGAGGACGCTGCTGACAAACCAGATGATGTTGATGACATCAGTGGTAAAACTGACAATAGACAGACACCTCTCTAAGCCTTTCCAAATTGATGCTCAGATGGATAAAGGGCAAGAAGCCATGTAGGAAAGCAATGAGCTCTTGGTAATGCAGGATAAGGAAGGCCTGTAACTTTCCACAAACTAGCACCCCTCCCCAGAAAATGGGAGACTCCATGGCAGTTACTGAATTCAAGGGTGCTCATGGAGCTGGCCCCAGGAATCTTGTGGTCCTTGTGAGCCACACCCTCATCCTGATTCCATAGCATCACTTGGGTGAGTGGTGATGTGGGACAGCAGTCAGGTGGCAAGACTGAAGTTTAGGGTTTGAGGTTAGGTATCAACTTGGCCTGCAGATGACAACATCAAATCAAGTGCAGAGTCACAATTTCTGAAGTTCAGAGGGAATCACCTTGATTTTTGGGTTCCGTAAGGAGAATTAAGAAGGAAAGTTTTGTATGGCCTACTCTGTTTCCCTACTGTGGGTGCAGGCTCTCCTTCACGCATTTCTCTAGAATCAAAAGCTTAATAAATGAACAGCAAAATTGTTTTCTGTTTCTTTTAACCATATCCAAACTGATTATCACTTATCCACAAGACAGATTTTCAGAGCTCTTGAGAGATGCCAGCACTGTCTTAGCCAGTGGTGACAACATTGTTCATACACCAGCAGGCACCAAGGTGAGGTCTGAGGAAGCAGTCAAAGCCATGTAGAAAGAGGGAAGAAATAGCAGACCTGGATGGCAACAGGGTATGTGACGAGGCTGATGGGAGAGCAGGGGCTGGAGACCCAGTATGCAGGGTATAGTGCTGATCAGTCTGTCAGCACTTGGCTTCTGCTCGATAATCTTTCTCATCTTCCCTGTGCCTATGGGAAGGCATGGATTCACAAACAGGACAGAGCATCACCCTCAGGACTGGGTGACCAACCTGAGACCCCAGCCTTTGCACCTGTGTCTCTCTACTGCAGTGCTGTAGCCAGAGTCCAGGCAAAGCAAGGCACATGTCAGGCAAGGACTCTGTCACTGAGTACCACCCAGCCTGGCATCATGTCTGATTGGATCAAAATGGGGACACTCACCCATCAAGGCTGTGCTTGCAGCCAAAGGCACACCACAGTGCCATGCTATCTGCCCTCTGCTCAGGACAGACTTCCTGTTCTCGGAACTAAATGGCTAGCAGGTAGGTACCTTAGATTCCCATGAGTCTCCAAGTGGGAATGTGGTTGACAAAGGTAATGCTGCTGTTGCCTGAGAGGGAAAATGCCATGCACTCTTATGAACTCCCTGATGGTCAAATGAAGTTCATTATCTGTTAGCAATAAGTACACTGGAGTATGATAAAGAATTAATGTTTAACACTGTAGCTGGTTACAAATATATACAAAATTCATTAAATATTGAATAAAGCAAGCCAAACAAAACCTGAAGAAAGGAGTAAACAAATGCTTTGCACTGGTTCTTGAAATGTTCAGAAACTGAAGCTGCCTCCTGCCATTGGCATCTGATGGCATAAACAAGAATCTTCTTCATGGCTGAGTTGCCTAGGCCTGACATAAGAGCATCTCCTACTGATGGTCTGCTGGCTGCCTTCTCTCCACAGGGCTGCATTCTTAGGGCTTCGAAGCCTATGCAAATTTGCCAAAGACTCAACTGTGCAGTTTATTATTAATAATAAAACCCGACCACCCAAATCCACAAAGTGAAACCACGGCTGCTGCCTATGATGGGACTGGAGTGCAGCTGAGAACATTCCAACACTGGGTCAACAGAGGGCGGGGTGTAGCACACAGCACAGAAATCGTTTCTGACTCATAAACAGACCTGAGATGTTTTCTGAAGTCGTATTCTGTGAGCCTTGAGATAATATTTTTATTGGATCATTTCTGTAAACTCTGAGAAAGTATTTAGACGGAGTTGCTTTTCAGCAACTAGAAAAATTGTTATTTGTCGGTTGGCTGTAGCACAGACTGGCTAATGTTTAAAATTTGAACTGTAATCTTTTGATAAATAACCACTATTTCCCCTACTCCAACAACAACAACAACAACAAAACAGTAAATAGTATACACACCGGGCACACATGAGCCACAAACAAGGGGGCAGTCCCAGGGCTGGGATGAGTCCAGCCTAGGCATGTGCCAGTGGCATTTGGATCAGTGCATGTACCCTGAAGGACAGTCCTACCCTGCATGTACACAATTAAGTCCCTCACAGACTCCTATAAGGACAGGGTGATGGCTTCCAGCTGAAGGAAGGCAGCCCTCCATGAAGAGCATTAGGCAGGCCGTGCCTTACTTGGAGCCATACAACTTATCTAGACCTAGCATTCAGCACTGGGTGTAACTGAGAGCAGCTAAGGAGTCTGAAAATAAGATAACGAGTGACCTCACGTTCACTGCAGGTCAATTTACCAGAGAGGTTGGCCTGAGAGTGACAAATGTCAGATAGTCAATTACAGAGGCTGGATCTGTACAAATGCTACACACTTGTTGTTCCCAAGAAGTCTGCACTTTACCTGGGAAGGGCCTTCAGTTGCCTTTAAGGAATCTGCTCCCTAAGGTCACTGATGAGTGAGATGTGACAGTCTAGGTACATCATTCAGGATTAGCATTTCCTCCCAAAGACTGGCAAGGAAACTATCGTGAAAGTCTATCAGTTAAAGTGAAAAAGATTAAATATGTTCATATTTCAAGAGTGGAATATCACCTTACTGATGATTCTAAGTGTTAATTTTGTGCATGAAACAATTCTTAGAATTTACAAATCATGGAATAGAGAAATAAATTGACAAGAGAGTAAA